GTGGAGAAGAATTTACCAGAAGGACCTTGCATTCTCCCTGGAGGGTCACTTAATCCCTGGCTGGCCCTGCAGCTGCCAAGTGCAGTGATTTAGGGAAGCTGTGGCCACTGATTCTTGTCCTTTCCCATCCATGTCCCTCAGGGTGGGAGCTGCCTCCATCCTTCACAGAGGGGGCTTCTGAGAGACTCTGGCTGGAACCGTTTGCAGGCAGCCAGCTGGTGGGGACAAAGGGCTTTTCTTTCTCAGCCTGTCAGGACAAAATTCTTCACAAAGAGGGTGACACCCCACCCACCACATGCTTCAGCATCAGTTGCGGGCCCAGGCTGTGTCTCAAGACTGGGGATCAGCAGGTATCGAGAGACTTAGGCTTCGGCTGCCAGGGCTGGGGCTTGAGTGTGGTTGTGGTCCCTGATGTGGGTCATGGGTCAGTGCTCCTCAGCCCTGGGCCCATATGCAGTGAGGCACAAGCCAGGTAACAAGGCTACCTCTTTGGGGTGAATCATACCTAGCCTGCCCCATGCCTAACTCTGAAGGCACCCCAATTGTGGATCATAGATGCTGGTACTGGGATTCTTCCCTGAGAGCCCCAAACTGCCAGGAAACTAAAGGACAATCCAACACCACCTTCCTCATAGCGCTGACAATGCGCAGGATCGTTGCTACCTCATTCAACAGCTGAGAAAACCAGGACCCAGGGAAGTGAATGGCTTGCCTGAGGTCACTGCACGGGAGGGGCTGAGCAGTTTTAAATCAGCTCTGGCTGCCAGCCACGATGCTGTCTCTGGGCCAACACTCTCATTCATCACCACGGTGCTCCCTGGAGCTGGAGCCCTCCTCACAATGTTTATGGACAATTAAGTGAGAGTGCAGAGGTACCAGTGTGGGGAGAGGGCCAGAGCAGGGAGTGCTCCCTCTGCAGATCAATGGCCTCTGGGCAAAGAGGAGCACCCACCGGAAGTCAGAAGAGGCAGGAGGTCCTCGAGTTACTGAGACAAGGAAAGCAGGCTTCCAAACTCTAGCCACAGCCACAGACAGTCCTGGCTAACATCCTGGCAGCTGCTGACCCTGAATGACATGTCCTCTTAACCCAGAACCCGACTGCCAGGGTGCCAAGAACCCCCAGGCTCAGAGCTGCTGTGGCGCCAGGCCCAGCCTGCAGTTTGCATATGACTAGAATTTGGGGTGACTGCTACTGTCCTGGGATAGGAACACCTGGAGCAGCCAGGGGGCAGGATGAGTTCTAATGGGGGGGGCAGGAAATGAAGCCAGGCCCAGTGTACTCACGATCAGCCACTACAGTGGAGATGACGGTGAGAGGGAACGCTGAGAGCCCTTCACCGGGTCCCAACATCTCTGCTCCTGCCTGATGAGACCTGGTCTTGGGTCCTCTCCCAGTGCTCCTCCTCTGCTCGATTTAGCCACCTGTCCATGAGCCCTAACCAAGCCCTAACCAAAGATACCCTCAGCCTGTTCAAGCCTGGTCCAGGGGTGGGGTTCAAAGTGTCAGGGCAGGACTCTAGAGGCAGATATTCCCTTCCTCCCTTTAATTCTTCCCTTCTCCTCCTCCCTCCCTTCCTTTTCCTTCCTTCTGTTATACATCCATTCCTCCATCTGCATTCAACACACACACATGCCCATCTACACTAAAAGCCCTGTCTGTATATGAGGCCCAGAGCCTCCCTCCTGGACTCACATCCCTGTGGGGCACAGGCGCCTTAATATGAATCCCTGTTCACACCAGCAGACGGTTACCATGGAAATGTCCTTGGGACAGGGTGGAGGGTAGAGAGGGCAGAGAGGGGGAGGGAAGTCCCCTCAGAGGCCCGTATCTGCAGAACTAGTGTCCAGTTGGGCAGCAGTATCCTGGAAGTGCTGCAAGGGGGGGAGGCATGTGCAGGGGCTTATCCCACCCCACAGCTCGGAGACACACGGCGCTGGCCTCGGGGTCATCCTAATCTTCTGCCTGGAGTGGTCTACAGACTTGTAAACTGGGCTTTTCTTGCCTGGTGCCTGCAGTAAGAGCCTCACTCGGTGCCAGGATTCCCAGGGCCCCAGCAGGTGGAGCAGGAGGGGCCCTACAAATTAATGAGTGAGACTGATTAATCTGCTGCATTAGCAAATCCGCAGGGAAAGTCAACCAACCAGGCAGATGGGAGTGAGCCGGTGCACGTGGTCCCCAGGGCTGTATCAGCAATGCCCTGAGGGTGGAGCTGACCCCAACCTGGCCTTTCGCCCCAGGAGAGACTGTCTCAGACTGCTAAACCTAGAAGGCTGGGCACAAAGCCTGTCTCTAGAAGCTATGGAGAGGAACAGGTGACAGAACCGAACTGCCTCAAGCCCTCAGTGACTCCGGGTAAGCTAGGCTCTAACTCAGGTGTGGTCTTACCCAGATCTCCCCACCCCCACTCCAAAACATTCAAAGGAGGTCCAACCCAAGGCAGCCAAAGATGAAGCTGTGGGTTCGGCTCAGGATGGGAGAGAGAGCAAAGCAGCTTTACCCCAAAGGGGGTTCTGATTTGCAGGAGTCAGGGACCTCATTGCTGAACCTAGGAAGCAGATACTCAGTAGAAGCCTTAGTCTGCCCACTTTTCTCCTCAGCCACGTCTGAGTGACAGCTCCAAATCGGAGTTCCGGGGTAGCTGGAAGAGGCTCCAAGGGACCTGAATCATGTTTGACTTCTACGTATTTGTGAGGATTTCACACGGTAGCCCAAACTCACACTGTAGCCTCGCCTTGCTTTGAACTTGCTCCTGTCTCATCCTCTGAGTACTGGCATTACAGGCATACACCGCCACAGCATCCATCTTTGTCTTCTGGTGTTAATAAAAGAAGATGGAGTTGGCTCTGTGTACTGATACCTAAGGAAATCCCTTCGTTTGTGCTACTATGAAGTAGAGGTATCACGTCAAGATGTCTGTAGACCCAGGGCCATTTGCAGTGTTCCCACATGGGACCTATTGGCCTTGTTGCCATCCCCAGCTCCCCCGGGGTCCGCCATGCCAGGCTTTACACAGGCTTGCTTTCTTCCCCACAAGCAATGCTCAGACACCAGATGAGTTTTAGCCCAAGATTACAGGTGTGCTTAAAAATACCTGGCTGGTGGAGGGATGGGGCTAATAAATGCCCACAGTGTGGACCCAGGATCTGACTCTTTGGGGTGGATGAGGACAAATTAAGACGGGCTCCAAAGAGAGGAGTAGACCTAGTGGTCAGAGTGGAAAAAGTAGAGTTCTATTGGAAATGCCAGGCTTCCCTTGGCTCCTGGGAAGACTCCAGGCAGAAATCGAGTGGGTACCCAAAGAACATTCTCCACCCGAGGCCAGGGTGCTGGAATCCCACTATTGAATGTGTGATCTTGAGCAAGTTGGTTAAATCTTTTTGCACCCATTTCCTACTAGGTAAGACATAGGTATGGTAAGAATTGGCCTTGGAAGGTACTGTGGGAGTCTGGCGTACCCACACACCCTTGATACTTCAGCCAGCGTGGAGGACGGCACAGTGAGGAGCAATGGTCACTGATGAGGTGGTCTGCTCAGGAGGAGGATATTTTGGAAGGTTCTTCTCACAAAATATAGGCAGATGGCTCCCGTGACCTGGAGGGGTCTGAAGGTCCCAGAGGGTGTGTGTTGTGACATGTATTTATTTACTGTAGGCCAGAGAGCAAGAGAGCCAGAGAGAGGGGCAGACAGGGGAGGTGGGGCAGGTTGGAAAAATAGAAGAGAGGACAGATGTGGAGGCAGGAGCTGGGCCATGGAAACCGCCCCTGTACTGTTGTGGGTAGGTATGAAGCAGGGCTGGAGGTTCAGTCAACCTCTGAGCCACCATGCCTGTGCTACAGGGACACAAACAGCACCTTGAGGACTGTCTCCATCTGGGGCCTCAGAGCCAGCTGCAGAGTCTCTGGGATAAAGCAAGGTTGGGCCACATCTGGCTTTTGGGGTGGATCAGGGCTTCTTCCTTCTTGAGAAACTCGGGCCCACAAACCACAGTCCCTCCTCCCAGCACCTGCAGCTCAGACGGGTCCCGGTCCCTAGGAACCCCAGCATCCTTCAGGACCATCCCTAGCAGCCAGCAATTTTTCTCCAAGCACCTGTCCTCTCCAGTCAGTAGCTCGCTGCCTACAGAGTTGGGGTAGGAAGCTGCTTTCGTGGCAGCGCAGTCCACCAGACCGGCGGGGGTGGGGGCTATGGCAGAGAACCTGCATGCTCAGAACATGGGTGGACCCTGGTACCGGGCTGGTCCTGCAAGATGCAGGGTCTGGGGCATCAGGTTCTTCTCACTAGAAGGAACAGCGCTGGGCCTGGGAGCTAGCTGCTGGATGCTTCTTGAGCTTGCGGTGCAGGAGGGCGGCAGGCTGATGGAGGGTTGATTCTTTCTCAACGTTGGGACAGGGACGGAGACGAGAGAGAGGGACTTGTTATTTCCAAACTGCAGCCACGCTAAGGCGGGGTGGAGGGATGGAGTTAGCCAGAACCCGAGCGGGTGCCCTTCTCTCACACACAGTCCCAGAATGCGTGCCCAGCGGTCTTTAGGAGGCCGGCCGGGTTAAGGATGGAGATCAGGGTTGGGGGCTTGTTTCCTGAAGGCTCTGGGATTGCTGGGGTCACCAGGGGGGTCGCCAACCCCACCCGGCACGTTGCGAGTCCCAGGGGGACAAGGAAACTTTACCCCCACGCGGGGCCGAGCGGGGCCTCCACCTACCCTCGGGGCCCGGTCTGCCCCCTCCTCCCGCCCGTTTCCTCCTCCCTCCGGTTCCTCCCGTCCCTCCCCTCCTCCCCTTTCGCCGGCGGCTGGAGGCAGCAGGTCCGGGCGGGGCCGCGCAGCGGAGCCCACAACCTCCAGCTCCCGCCCCGCCACCGCGCCCCGCGGGACGAGCTGCGGAGCCCGGCTTGGGGACGAGCGGCCGCGGCGCGGGGCATGAAGTTGGGCGCGCGCGGGTCTCGGAGCGGAGGCTCGGCACAGTCGGGAGCCGCCCGCGTCTAGAGCCCGGTCTGTGCGCCATGGAGCTCGGGGGCCCCCGGGCGCCGCCGCCGCCGCTGCTACTGCCGCTGCTGCTGTTAGGGGTCGACCTCTTGCCTGGTAAGTTTCTAAATGCAGAACGGGTTTTTTTCTCCCGGGTCCTGACATCTGGGACTTTGGGGCCAGGGGAGAGGAGGCCCCGAGCTGTGGCGGTGCCAAGCCGCGGGTGCGCGCAACGGGATAGCCAGAGACTCCTCCACCCACTACAGCTCCGACGTCCTGCGGTGCTAGCTGAGCCAGTGAGGAAGGAGTCAGCCGCCAAGTGCCAGGGAGAGGGGGTTTGAGTGGAGGCGGGGGCGGGGTGGGGGGAGCAGGGTGGTCTGGCTGCATTTCTGAGCTGGAACCAGAACCTCCAACTAAGAGGTGGAATCCACCTGGGAGGGAGGTTCCATCCTGCCAAATCTCTCAGCAGACCGCCCCCATGTCTGCTCCTGGTTTCAGGGATCTATCTGCCTCTGCGGCTGGAGCTCCCACCCTACCCTTCTGCCCCCCCCCATTCTCCCACTTTCTCATCCTCTAAGCAGACACCTTTCACCCCTAACCCATCCTGAGGCTCCCGGCAGTTATTTAATCCCTGGCCTCCCCACTGAGCTGTGGGGCTGTGCCTTCTGGTCCAAGGAACCAGGAAGAATGAGGTTGAGGGAGGAGGCTGTGAGGGCACTCTAGGAGCCCCCTCCTGAAGAGTTCCTGTGGTTCTCAGGTAAGCAGGAACCAATAGACAGCAAAGGCGCCTCTCCCTCTTCCCAACCCCCTCTTTGATGCAGCAACCCGGCCAATGGAGACAGGGAGGCCCCCTAGCCTGGGGGGGGGCGGGGGCGATGGAGAGGACACACAGCTGGCCGGTGGAATGAAGGACCACCCTCTCCAGGCCGCAGTGTGGAGCTGATCCAGGGCATCTTATATCTGCCCTGAACACCGGGTGCTAGTGGCCCTGAGGGTCTGCATTCATTTTCAGGGTGGACCCCAAAACCCACCCAGCAGGACCACTCCTGTAGCTAGTGGCTCAAGCTACCTACAGCCATGAGGAGCAGTGCCCGGTCCTCGTCCCCACCACCCTCGCTGCCCCATACACCTTCTGTCCCTATCCCCATGCTGCTGTCATTTCATGTCCTTTGTCTCTGCCGGTAGGTCACAGGGCACTTCCATCCAAAGTGATTGTCAGCAGGGGAGCTGTATGTAATTCAGTGTTCACAGTGTCAGCTGCCTTGTTCTCCTGGTGAAGTACAGGAGGGCCTGGACCATTCTGAGGACCCAGGAAAGGCTTCCTTGAGGGAAGTTGGGGGAACCAAGGCGTCACGCCCAGAGTCCTAAGATGGAAGGGGATGTGTAAGAGGAGCCAGAAGGAAGGACGGTCAGACTGTGATGGCATGGGGCTGGAGGGGCAGCCTTTGTGGTCACCTGTCCCTACACCTCCTGCCTCCCCGACAGCCAGCAGCCACATAGAGACCCGGGCCCACGCAGAGGAGCGGCTCCTGAAGAGACTCTTCTCTGGCTACAACAAGTGGTCTCGACCAGTAGCCAACATCTCAGATGTGGTCCTTGTCCGCTTCGGCCTGTCCATTGCTCAGCTCATTGATGTGGTAGGTGTGGGGATGGCCTGGTGTTATATAGGACAATGTGGTCGCCCCGTAGGAGGTATGGCCCTGAGACTGACAGAAAAAACGTCACCTGGAACTTTAGCAGCGCTGGGGAAGGGAGGTGGGCTCTGTGGCTCTGGACCTGTTCGGTAGGAAAGCTAGCGGCTACTTTCCCTACAGTGAGCAGGGCACCTTTTGGAGTCAAGAACAGAAAGGGCTTCTGCGGTTAAAGGAGGGCCAGTGCCTTGCTCTTCAGCAGCTAGACTCTGGGAAGTTTGGTTGTGTCACCCTTCCAGTGGGCACTGTGGTACCCGGGGGCACATTGATCTCAGGCTGATCTCAAAGACCATGGAGTACCAATCAGTGTGGAAAGTAGGGCTTGGGTGAATCCCAGGCAGATCCTGTTCACCTGGATGTTTTCCTAGTGAGGGTTCAGGAAGACTTCTGGGAGGAGCTCAAGGGTCTTGGGCGTCAAGGTCTTGGGTAAGGAAGTATACTCTAGGAGGCTGGCCTTGTGTGAGAATGAGATGCTGCTCTGTTAGCACCCAACCTTTCCTGGCCACACTCAGCTGCTCCTTGTGGGATGGGACCAGTCTTGGGGGAACCCAGCTAGGGAGTGATGCATACCTGAATTTCAGTACCACTCAAGGCTCTGCCCTTCATGCTGGGCCTCAGAATGGGTTCTATCTGGGCTGGAGGAATGAGGCTGGGAAGGCGTGATCTTACCAGTAGGGCAGCCAAGGCCACCTGATTTAGTTAGCTTGGGGTCTCCATACTGGGTTTTTTCTGGGTGCAGGGACAGATCCTGGATCTGAGGGAGAGAGAGATGTTCCCGCAGAGCCTTCTGAGAGGGATATTAGAGAAAGGGAGGACAGAAAGGAGACTGTGTGCTTTGCTTTAGTTCTGATGCCCAGCATCAGTGTCCCAACCCCCTCTCCCCCCTCCCCCCCCCAGACACAGGAAAGTGTTGGCTCAAGGCTGGCACTGAACATGTGTGATTCTCAGCCTTTCCCTGTGCTTGCCTGATGTGAACTGAGAGCAACTATACTGTCTTTGATAGAGCCAGCAACATCCCAGGGATGTGGCCTGGAGACCTTTGCCAGTTGGCCTATTCAGAGCTGGCCACCCGGACTTTCATCCTCAGGAGAGCCTAGCATTTGGCCCCCAAATGGTTCCTGCAGTGTCCCTGGCTGGGGGACATCAAGGACAGTGAAAGATGTACAGACCCCTCAACCTTGCTGAGGTTTGCAAACACTTTCAGAAAGTGGTGGCTGGTACAGGCAACTGTTGGTGGCAGCTCAAGGCTCTGTGTCTGCTACCACCAGGCGTGCCTAAACCTGTCAAGCTCATTCTTGTGTGTCCTGCCCCAGGAGACACTGAAGCTCAGAGCACACCCAGCACCAAGATTTCTCTAAGGGGCCTGGATCCCAGGCCTAACCTCTGCCCTAGATCTAGCTAAGGCCACATGTGAATATGTATACACATGCATACAGATAGCTCCTGGGCCTGGTTGGAGGGTGTCCCAAAGGCTCACCCCACACCCTGCAAGGCACTTGCCTTGACTTTGCTACAAAGGGAATCGCTGACTCTAGACTGACTCATTCAGGGTGTGCAACCTCCGCACTCTGTCCATGTGGGAGGTCCATGTCCACATTTGTGTAGAAAGGGCTGCCTTGTGTCTGGCCTACTCTTCTTTCTTCCACTAGGGCCTGGGACCCAGGTGCCCCCATCCTAGTGCCCGACCTGCCTGTGTCCTTTTGTGAGCTATTAGATTGACCACAGATGCCCTCTCTGGGGTCTGCACACAATAAGGGAGACTGCATGCCTTGCTTGAGTTCACACCCCAACGCCAGCTGCAGAGAAGGCTACTGAATTGCCAGTAATTTCCTAACCCAATGAGTCCTTGTGAAATGTACCCCAGAGCTCTGTGACATCTATGGGATCCAATGGCCCTGGAGTGTGACGGCCACATGGGGCTAGAAGGGATGCTAGGGTAGGAAGACTCAGTCCAGCCACAGTCAAGTTTGTTCTGATGACCCTGGAGGCCCTTTGGGATGAAGCGAGCAGCCTTCCATCTCCAGCTTCCTTGGGTAAAGGTCAAGGTCATGCAGGGGTGAGGTTGCTGCAGACTAGCTCATGCATGCAGCATGGGGAAGCAGCAGACCTGGCCTGTGCTCTGAATCCCGCCTTCTCTCAGTGTCCTTCCAGGGAGAGGACTCACTCAGGCCACTGGATGACCTTCCTAGGTGACTGCACTGGAGAGGACCCCATCCTGGGGCTGGGCATCCAGGGGGTGCAACCTTGTCACGCTTGGTAGCCTGTGATGACTTTTGCAGGACAGGACCATATACACATGCTCTATTCTGGGCAAGACGCTTTCTTGCTAGATGTCCTGAGATCTCCTTGGTTAGGTCCCTGGAGGAGGCCATTTGTTGTGCTTAGTCTGATGATGGAAAATGTTGGTCCAGATTGGGATGCAGGCTTCCCAGGATCAGATGCCCTCTGACAAGGCCCAGAGCTGTTCCCCAGCCTGTGGGCATGAGGTCTCAGGTCCCTCCTGGGTGCTGAGTGGCTAGGAGGTATGGCTATGACTGCCTCTGTCCCCTCAGACCCCTATGCCTGTACCGGGCTTGGTCATTATCCAAAGGGTCCTGTCTGCTTTAGGAACTGACTCTTCAGAATATGGGTCTCCAACATGATGTTCCTCACCAAGGGTGCAACAGATGGGCCATTGCTGTGGCACAGAGGGGGAAATAAAGGCGCGGGAGGGTAGGTGGGTTGGGGCAGTAGCTGTAAGAGGCCTCATAGAGTAGTCTGTGTATGGCCTACGTCTTCTCAGCCTGACTGGTCGACTCATGGTGACTTTGAGGTAAAACCACCAGAATCTCCTCCATGACATCCACCTTGGTTCAGGGAGAGACTTTTGTCAAGATCTCCCTAACCAGTGGCTTTGATGGCCCTAGGAACGAACAGCCGTGGCTCTCATCTGCAGAGGGAAGCAGGGAAGGAGCAATGTGGGTGGACATGGCTGACAGATTTTTTTGGGAAGGAGACTCAGCCCACAAGGAGCCTGGGGTCCATTTGGAGATGAGCTTATCCCCTGTGTCTTTCTGGAAAGGTCCCAGGGTCTTTGTCCCCCTAACCCTACCTCCCCTTAGGCTGCCATCCCAGGATAGGTTGCCTTCAGGGCTGAGGAATTCCTTCCCTCCTGAAGTTCAGCCCTGGCTTGTCTATGCCTATGGCTAGCTACGGATAAGGAGATCTAGGCAGGAACATATCTGTTACTGAGGGGGACCTCAGGCTCTTTTCTTACTTGTGCCCTAGGATGAGAAGAATCAGATGATGACAACAAATGTATGGGTGAAGCAGGTGAGTGGGGAGGGCTTCCCCGCCTCTGCCCTCTGCCCTCTGCCCTCTGCCCCCTGCCCTCTGCCCCATAACCCCTTCACACATGGCTTTCCACTCCCACTCAGGAGTGGCATGACTACAAGCTGCGCTGGGACCCCGGTGACTACGAGAATGTTACCTCCATCCGCATCCCCTCTGAGCTCATCTGGAGGCCGGACATTGTCCTCTACAACAAGTAAGCTCCATGGGTCCTGGCAGGTGAGGTTAGACCCCATCCCAGCAAGGAAGCTGCTGGGAGCAAAGAGGAGCTAGGCAAACGGAGGGGAGGCCGGATAGGCTGGGTGTGGTCACCAGCACCTGGGCGTACCTGCTCTGAGGTCTGGAGGTTGGCAAAGAATGGACTGGACATCCCCTTCTGGCAGTGACTATGGGTCCCATCCCAGGCAGGTCTCCTTAACCACTGCCATGCACAAGTCACGGTCTGGAAGGTCAGTGATACAGGGGACTTGGGAGTAGGTAAGGAGGTGCAAGAGAAGTATCTGCTCCACAGAGCCTTGCACTCCACTCTTCTGGGCTCCACCTTCATGCTGTGCCCCACCCTGGGCACTCAGCCAGTGGTGACAGTTCACAGCCTGTCTCAGCTCCTGGAAGCTGAAGTCTGCATGGAGAGAAACGCGGTCAGTGGTGACAAGAAGGCAGGGGGTGAACATCCTCACACTTGTTTTTCCTGGGGACCCTTACAAAGAGACCTGAGCTAGGAGCAGCTGGCTCTCTGGGGTGATACTCTACTCCCTCAGGGTCTGGGAGGGTAGCGGCTCCCACGGTGCTAGCAGACAAAGCAGACAGAAGCTCTTCCGCCCCCTAGTCCTAGCCATCTGCCCACAGCCCCCACCAGGCCCTGGGGTAACCGTCTGACCTACAAAGGCTATTTGATTAAGAATGGCTGGGATTCTCTTTCCTCTTTCCTTGAGTGGGGTACTAGTCACATCGGTGGCTTTTAGAAGGAGCTGCGGGTGGTTTTCTGAAATGTGTTAAGGGTGGGCTTAGGAGTGAACAGATGGCAGGGAACGTCAAGGTCCATGACTCCTGCTCTTCCCTTGGTAAGTCTTCTGTGTCTGTCCCGTTGAAGCTTGAGGCCTGCAAGGCTTCTAGCTATGGGGCCTTTCTGGGGCCCACCCTCTGCTTGTTCCAGCCTTGAACTCTGGGATCAAGTACTGAATCTACTCTGGGCAGCCAATTGGACCCGTGACAAAGAAGGACATGCACTCCCTGGGTGGTATTGGGTAGGCAGAGGAGTAGGTTGGGGATCCAGGGAACAGCTGAGGACCAAGTTCCTGAGGACAGGCACTCGGAAGTCCGCACCCCTCCTAGGTCACATCTGTCTGGCTCCTACCTGTTAGGATACATGCAGAAGGGCCAGACCCCCTTTTCTGTGGGACTGGGTCTGTCTGATCAGGACTTGGAGCAGGCAAAGGTTGAAAGGACTCTTGTACCGCCGGGGAGGAAGGCCGTTTCTAGCAGCAATCAGCAGCTGCTAGCCAGATGGCTGGTCCCACCGGGCAGGGGGAGTCCCTACTGTTTTGTTGACTCTGGGCTCCCTCTCCTGGAAGCCCATAAGCTCTCAACCAGGTATGGGTCAAACAGATGGTCTCACTTGCCTCTGGATTGCAGCCTCTTTGGTATGGATAAAGTTTGGGACCCACCTAGCTACTGGCCAGCTTGTTGAGTCCTGAACTAACTCACATTGGATGGTTTCCTGGGGACTCTAAGGTGCAGAAATGGAAACTGAGGACCTGTCATCTTCACCCTGCATCAGCAGCCTTGGCAGTGAAATGCCAACAGCTCGCTTGAGGAATCTGCTGTCCTGGGGCGTGGCTGGGCTTCCATTGGCCCGAGGACAGCATTATCCTTTGGGCGTTGTGACTATCTTACTCTAGGCACCATGAGAAGAACAAAGCAGCCGGGTGCTGAGCCCTATGGACTCTGCTGTCACCTCCACAACTGGGGCTTTGTGGGAGTGTTTTATGGAGGCAGAGCCAGAATTTGATGGAGATGGGCTGCACCGTCACCCTCAGAGACCTCCTTCCTCGGAGAGCTCACTTGGGACCTGTCTGCAATCACAAGCATAGCAATAACCTCAGAGGGATCCATACACACAGGGTTAGGTGCTCAGAAAAACTCGTGTGAGGACCTGGGCCAGGCTAGGGAGAGCAGAGAGTGGTGAGTAATACAGTTGGAGGCAGCTGGAGCTGCCACAGCCTGAGCAACATATGACTGCTGAGTCCCCAGTGTTTTTAAAGGATGGGAAATCTAGACTCAGCAACCTAGGCTGCAGATGGGAGCCACTAATTCAAGTGAGCCCTGAGGGCCCCTGTCTGCCGGCTGGTTGCAGCCTGTCCTGCCCACCCTGCAGAATATTTGCAAAGCAGAGGACCCACTCACTTGCTGTGGGGGAATTTAAATTTGTGCCTGGAGTGCTGAGGCTTTGATTTTTGAAGAGATGGGACTTCCAGAAGGGAACAAACCCAAGCCTGATTCCACACGGCCTGAAATGTGCTGCAAGATCCACCCCCGTGTGCCCAGAGGGAACCTCGGCTACTCTAGAAGCCAGGCTGTGCTCTGTGCATTTTGCAAAGCTTCTTCCAACTTTTTCCACATGCAGCACAGCTATGCAGGAGAAAACCAGTGGCATTGACCCAGGAGTTAACATGCAGGAGGGTCCAGTGCCGGCATCCACTGAGACCATGGGAGGCTCAGGTCTCCTGGACCTTGTGGATGGTGATGCAGGTGATTGGTTAGCATAGGAAGGGCCACTGAGGGTCCCAGGTGGCCACCATGGGCCCTGGTCAGAACCTGAGAAGCTGCTCAGGGAAGCAGGGCCAGTTGGCTGATGAAATTCAGGGGACCTGGATTTCTCTGGCTAAGAACCTTGGAGGGCACTAGCCAATGAGCTGGGCCTGTGAATGGAGATAGGAGAAGAAATGGACAGAGGAGGGCTGGGCACTTGGGAAAACAGAAGGTTCTGGAGCCTGTGGCTCAGGGCTACACTGTTTTATGAGTGGTGGGACTAAAATGATGCTTGCTGGTGCCATTAGTGAGTTTAATCAGGCTTCAGAGAGCTCATTAGCTATAAATCGAGGTTTCCCATCAGTATTTCTGAGCTGAAGCTGGCAGAGTTTGCTCAAAAGTGTTAGTGCACTGCTGCTAATCCAGGGCCAGAGTGAATGGTCTGGGCTTGTAGAGAAACACACTGACACCAGGTTTCACGGGGCAAATAGGGTACAGGTTCTGCAGGCAGACGTGAAATGCGAGCAGTTCTGGGGAGGGCTGTGGAGGTGAGCAGGGTGAGAAAGGGTTAATAGAGTCTGCTTTCCCAGCATTACCAAGTTCCACTAATGGGTAAAACAAGGCACAGCATCTGTTTGTGAAGCCCAGAGGTCAAGGCTGGAACTCTGATCAAGAGGAGAGGCTTGGAGGACAGCAGCAGCAGCTCCTCCACTCTCCAAGCCGGCAAACACCCCTCAAGACAGAGAGAGGCAAGGAGCCAATAGCTGGACACTAGAATCTGAATGAGGCAGCTGGAGTCCTCATTGAGTCTGTGTGCCATGGCCTATAGAGAGGTGGCCTCCAAATTGTTGGGCCCAGTGGAGAGGAAGATACCTTCCCAATCTCCAGTGGCAGAAGGTCAGAGGGGATCGATCGTGAGTGTGGGCCCAGTCCCGGGGGATCTCAGAGGGGTATTTGTCCTGAGAGGCACCTTGGGCAGGTCTACATTGCCATTTCTATTACCGGAGGCCTCCATACGGATGAGATGGGCAGAGAGACCCACTGGCCTCCAGCAAGGTTATCCATCACCAGGTGCCTGTGAGAAGATGCTTGATGTGAAGTCTCCTTTCTCATGGGGGACGAGGATGAAATCTTGATTGCCCCACCTTCTGCGCTCCTGGGCCCAGCAGGCACCCATTCTGGATCAGGCCTCTGGGTCCACATGTGCTGTTCCTGTGGACACATACTCCATACACACTGGGCTTGGTATGGTCCTGCAGGGACCGCTGGGATATCCCTAGCACACTGCAGAGGTCAGCTGTTTGCACCTGCACCTCCCCTCAGTGCAGGAGATGCTCAGGTGGTAACCAGGGGAAGCCAAGGAGGGATTCCCGTCATGCTTCCTCAAAGGCACAGAGGTGACCCAGGCCCCTCTGCATGGAGAAGGTACAAATGCAAAACCAAGGGGCAATGGGTGTTGTGGTGATGTATTGTTTATGATTTATTAAAGCTTGCCTGAGGATTCAGAAAGCAAAGCCAACCTCAACCTATAGAGATCAGACAGTGGTGGTACACACCTTTAATCCCAGGACTCAGGATTAAGAGGTAGATGGATCCCTGTGAGTCCAAGGCTACCCAGATCTACACAAAGATGATCTCAGCACCCAGGATCACATGCCTTTAATCCCAGCACTTAATGGGTATAAAAGATAGGAGCAGAGTCTTCAGTAGTCCATACCAGGCATTCATTCTCTAGCCACACTGAGGATAGGAAGACATTGAAGCCTCAGGATTCTCCAGCCACGCTGAGGAGAGACAGCGGTCTGAGGTTTGGTGGAGCCAGGTTCGCCTTTCATTCTAAGGTAGAGTAAGAGCCAGTGACCAGCAGCTTTGCTTTTCTGATCTTCAAGCGAGTTTTAATAAATCATAAATAATATACCATCACAGGGTGTTCAGGAGAGAAGCCAGGAGTTTGGTCCTACCCCTGTGTCTCTCATAATAGTAACGAGCTAGAGGTGTAACACTAGCTCTGTTCACTGGTGCAGGCACCGCTCATCCCGTGTTCTCTGGACCACATGCCACCTTGACTCAAGGGTATCGCAGTAAATAAGGATCAGGATAAACAAATAGGCCAAATAGATGTTTATTCAGGGAGAAATAACTTACAACCTAGACAGATGAACACCAGGAAATTCAACCCGATCCTCTCCTGTCCGAGTCACGCCAGAAAAGAGAGCACCTTTCCTGACCCCCTCCGACCTCCTTCCACAGGTCACTTCCACCCATGGCTCCACCCCCCAGTGGGTGTGGTCAGTACCAGAGAAGGACTATCTCACTACACAAGGGTGATAAACTAAAGCACACAAGAGAGTAGTGGCCCAGACAGCATGCCTACTACACATAACCTGCACTCTTCATGGGCCTGGTGGGGTTGATGGTCAGGTTGTGACCCTTTCTCTGCAAGAATATTCATGTGTGTGGCGTAGGGATGGGCAGACCTCACTGTTCTTTCTCTTCCTGCCAGTGCGGACGGGGACTTTGCAGTCACCCACCTGACCAAGGCCCACCTGTTCTATGATGGGCGGGTACAGTGGACACCCCCAGCCATCTATAAGAGCTCCTGCAGCATCGACGTCACCTTCTTCCCCTTCGACCAGCAGAACTGTACCATGAAGTTTGGGTCCTGGACCTATGACAAGGCCAAGATTGACTTGGTGAGCATGCATAGCCGCGTGGACCAGTTGGACTTCTGGGAAAGTGGGGAGTGGGTCATCGTGGATGCTGTGGGTACCTACAACACCAGGAAGTATGAATGCTGTGCCGAGATCTACCCTGACATCACCTATGCCTTCATCATCCGCCGGCTGCCGTTGTTCTACACCATCAACCTCATCATCCCGTGCCTGCTCATCTCCTGCCTCACTGTACTGGTCTTCTACCTGCCCTCCGAGTGCGGTGAGAAGGTCACGCTGTGTATCTCGGTGCTGCTCTCTCTCACTGTCTTCCTGCTGCTCATCACCGAGATCATCCCGTCCACCTCGCTGGTCATCCCCCTCATCGGCGAGTACCTGCTCTTCACCATGATCTTCGTCACCCTCTCCATCGTCATCACGGTCTTTGTGCTCAATGTACACCACCGCTCACCACGCACACATACCATGCCTGCCTGGGTACGCAGAGTCTTCCTGGACATTGTGCCTCGTCTCCTCTTCATGAAGCGCCCATCTGTGGTCAAAGACAACTGCCGGAGACTCATTGAGTCCATGCACAAGATGGCCAATGCCCCTCGTTTCTGGCCAGAGCCTGAGGGCGAGCCTGGCATCTTGAGTGACATCCGAAACCAAGGCCTGTCACCTGCCCCATCTTTCTGCAACCCTCTGAACACGCCAGTCGAGGCCCAGCCTACGTGCAAGTCACCCTCCCACAAGGCCCCTGATTTGCAGACATCACAGGTTGAGAAGACCAGTCCATCACCTGGCCCCTGTCACTCACCCAACAGCACCAGGGTCCCGATGCTCATCAAAGCCAGGTCCCTGAGTGTCCAGCATGTGCCCAGCTCCCAAGAAGCAGCAGAGGGTGGCGTCCGCTGCCGGTCTCGGAGTATCCAGTACTGTGCTTCTCGAGATGGAGCTGTCTCCCCGGCTGACAGCCAGCCAACTGGTTCGCCAGCCTCCCTGAAGGCCCATCCATCCAAGCTTCCACTGACAGACCAGACCTCTCCATGCAAATGCACATGCAAGGAACCATCCTCTGTGTCTCCAGTCACTGTTCTCAAGGCCAGAGGCCCAAAAGCACTCCCCCAACACCTACCCCTGTCACCAGCCCTAACACGGGCAGTAGAGGGTGTCCAGTACATTGCAGACCACCTCAAGGCAGAAGACACCGATTTCTCGGTAAGTCCTTACCGGTGGCTATGCATGGGAGGTTCCCTGGTCCAGACAGGATGAAGTATCTGGTGTTTCCCACACATGATCCAGAAACCAAGGCCCCAGATAAAAGCTGCACATCTTGAGGGTGCAGAGTCTCTACTTAGCATCCTTTGCAGGTACCTAGACCATGCTGGGCTTAACTGGAGACCCAGTTGGTGGAGAGTAGGCTCAGGTGCTGCCATTTCAATCACCTGCCAGGACTTATGAGCCCTGGCAAGCAGTGGATTGAGAGGCTGTTTCTAGCACTGCCGTTCCAACACTCACAGGTCTACCTTTGAAATCTTCAGACTGTTACAGGCTACTTGGAACTCCTGCCTAGCAGTGCCTGGGTGACAGGCAAGGTTCCATACTGGCCTTCCTCAAAACTCAACGGGACTGCTGCTGCTGCTGCGGCTGCTGTCTCCCTTGAACTTCTGCCTGGTGAAGGGTGGTTATGTGGACCCTAGGAAGGTAGAGATGGTATAGAGAAGAGAATGGGGTGCCAGGAACTGCAGCCCATCTCCACCCTATCAGTCCATTGGAGGGTTGTGGTATGAGGACATAATATTGTCCCACTGCAAAGCCCTCAAGAACCTGGAGACACAGAAGCCAGTGCTCAGCCAGCCTGAGCTGGCTTCATCTGTAAGCTTTGACTCAACAGAGGCCTGAAAGAGTCATTATGTCTATCTGTAGGTGTTGGTCTCCTGACCCAGACGGATATTCCTGCACTTTTCGCAGAATACTGCTAGGCTGGGCAGCGGTGCCAGTTCTGTCTGACCAGGGCATTGTGGGTTCATCTTCCCTTCCATATTTGTCTGGCTGTAACACATAGGGTTTCCAGGACAAGACTGGGCTCAGATGACGCTGGCTGAGATGCAGGACTCCTGGTGCTAGGCAAGCTGTTTCCCAAATCTGACTCCACCTGTGAGATTCAGAGTCTCACAGAGGTCAAGTGAAGAGGTCATCGGGGCAAGCCCTGTCCTGGCCGACCTTTGCCTCTGCAATGTCAGCTGAAATGTCTGTGGCATCTGTCTCTTACATTGACCTTGCCCTGAGCTGGCATTTGCCACTGTCCCTCCTGGGACGTGACTTCTCTGGATTCTGCTCATCTTCTTACCCAACCTGGGGCTTGCCTGTTGTCTACTCCCAGATAGCTGTGGTTTGTCTTCTGGAGCTTCTAAGTCCTGGAAAGAAAGGGGGCTGGTGCCCTACATCCCAAGAGTGTGTCTCTGCTCCCAGAGGCACGCCCCACTGAGTCTCAGGGACTCATGAAGTCATTCTGAAGGTCTCTGCGACATTCTGGGCCTCAGAGCCTGTCTGAAGAGCCATTTTGGTTCTGGGGCTATGTCTTGTTGCAGCTCTGAGAAAGAGATTCAGGCATGAACTGGAGTGAGGGCCACTGAGGGAGGATGGGGATGGCAAGCTTAACTGAAATCCTCCTGAAACCATTGCATCCCTAGTACAGTCCTGTAGTTGGAGCTTGTGACCTCCTCCTTCTCACTGGCCTGCTGCAGCTGCCTGACCTGGATCTGGCCTGGGACGCTTGCTGACTTAATAGGGACAGGACAGCAGGACTTTGGTCATGGCTGTGGGGTTTCATCTTCGGAGGCTTGGTCCCAGGCACAGGAAGGGGCAGAGGGACACCAAGCAGCCATTTACTCTGAAGAGCCCTTGAGGGGCTTTTTATTTAACAAAGATCTATTTGGTCTGAAGTTTTCTAAGTGAAGATGGCTAATTAGCTTTGGCTTAAACCACCAGGACACCTGTGATTGCTTTGAAAACTTGGGATAGATGCCCTTGCAACTGGCACAGCTGTACCCTTCTCCGTCCCAGGCCTGCCAGGCCAAGTGTCCCTCAACTGGCTTTCTTACTCCCTGCTGCTTGCATGTGCACAGACTGTGTCCCAGTGCAGCTCTGATCAAACCTCAGGGTTATTGCAGGCCCTTCTAGACTAGTGATGCACAGGACAGTGAAGAGTAAGGAGCAGGACACTGGTGTAAGCCTGCCTAAAGCACAGGGCCAGAGCTGCATGCAGAACTGTCCTCAATGCAGTGCTAATTCCCAGGCCTAGTTAGACCCAGGCAGCAATCTCCTGAGTCTTTGCTTCTAGGAACAACTTGAGGAAATGGGTACCTTGCCATCAGCCCCTGACAGAAAGAGTTCGTATTGCGGGATCCAGAGGAACTCTAGATAAAGCCAGTAGACATCTGCACCAATTGTCACCATGTGTTACAGCATGGTCCAATGAAGACTGAGTGGCCGCAGGTGGTGGACATACACATTGGGCTTTATATGTGTTCATTGTCATCACTGTTCACCCTCTGTCCCTGTCCCTCCTCCCTCCACGGAACATCTCCTGCCATCATTGCCTCTGCCCAGGGTGTGGACACCTGTCCATGTAAGATAGATGTGGATAGCCAGGCCAGGAGGCAAGTGTGGGCTTAGCCCTTGCTTTTGGGCACTTAGCCACTATGGGATGGCTAATTCATTACCCAGCGTGTTCCTAGCCCTTAGCTTCTTCTGGTCTAGGACACATGGCTGGCATCTCTCTGGGATCCACTTTCTTTTTGAGTTATGTTAATTTTGTTATGTGTGTGGGTGCTTTGAATTCGTGTATGTCTGTGCACCACATGTATGCCTGGCATCAGCAGAGCCCAGGGAATGTGTCAGACCCCCTGAAACTGGAGTTGTGGATGGTTGTGAGCCACCATGTGGATGCTGGAATTGAGCCCAGGACCTCCTGAAGGGCAGCCAGTGCTCTTAACCACTGAGTCATCTCTCCAGCCCCTAGGATCCACTTTTGACATCTGCACTGTGGGGAGGTAGACTTGACCTCCGTGGTGCTACCCACCTTTAGCAAACTTAAGACAAACTTCACCCTGAAGCCATGGGCCCTGTTTGTTCAAAGTCTGCCCAATCAGCCTCCCTTTGAGCTTAGGCTGTCTGCTGAGCAGTAAGACCAGCTGATGTACAGCATGAACCCCAAGTCTCTTGTGGCAGTATGGACCAGCAGAAAGCTCCAATGAATCCAAATGTAAAGACCCCCCCACACATGCAGCCTTAGATATGAGCTGTGTAGATGCCTAATTCATCCCTTACACTGCCTCCCTCTGCTCTATCCTGCAGCAGCTGCTCTGCCCCGGCAGATTCCCTGACCATAGCCAGTTACTCGCTCCTTCTCCACCTCCCGCAGGAGTGTGTGCAGATGTGTGTCTGATGGGATATGCAGAACAGGTTCCAGCAGTTTCTCTGGCTGGCCACAGGATCTGAGAGCTGGAGTGACTCGTGTCTGTGTTTGCAGGTGAAGGAAGACTGGAAGTACGTGGCCATGGTCATTGACCGAATCTTCCTCTGGATGTTCATCATCGTCTGCCTGCTGGGCACTGTGGGCCTCTTCCTGCCTCCCTGGCTGGCTGGTATGATCTAGAGACATAGCAGTGGAAAGGCGAGCTTGGCCCAGCTCCCTGGTCTCTGTAGGGCCATGCTACTCGCTAGTTACCCCCATCTTCCAAACCTGCCATGGAGCATCTAGGAGAGAGAGAGATGCTGTTTCTTGGGAGCTAGAAGCTGGCACTGGCTCTAGTCCAGTGGGCCTGGCTGGAGCTAGCCGACGAGGACTGGCACAGGGCAGTACAGACTGAACCCCCTGTTAAAATTTCTCCAGAGCAGGTGACAGTCGCCCCCGGGTCTGCAGACATCACATGGATGACCCAATGATGGTCTCAGTTGTCCTGCGGGGCCTTGAGAATTCATCCCTCTTCAGCAACCGGAGCCCCTCATCCTGGGGGATTCATCAGGACCCAGGAAACTCCCACTGTGCCTCTGCTGGCCATGTCCCTCTCCCTACCCCATGAAATGCTTCCCTTAACCCTCCAGACTGGGCAGCTGTCCGACCCACAGGTATCAGGGCTGAGCACAGGCAGGTTCAGTTTTGTTTAGATTGGGGTGGATTGGTGAGAGCCAGAGCACTGTGGTATGTGGATGCCCCACACACACACACTCGAATGCAGGCCCTCAGAGCAAGACTGAAGCCCCATGGGAGCCCTGCATCCACCTCAGGGTCACAAGTAAGTACTTCCTAGGGACCAGCGACCCCAGGAGGGAAAGAGACTGGGAGTGTCAGGATTGTGGGGGTGGGGTGGGGTGGGGTGGAGGGTGTCAGATCATGTCCAGGTCCTGGGCTGTAGATCCCCTCGTGGATTTTTCTTAATACCCCTGTATGATTCTGTCTCTCTGGGATTAAAAGACTGAAGGTAGGGCTTCTCATCCTAGTCCTGTGGTGAGGCCACACACAGTTCCATTGAGTGAAGTGTACAAGAAACCTGGGGCTCTCTGGGTCAGCAGGAGTGACGGGAATCCCCTCTGATGCCATGGAATAGGGTGGGCTGCCCGGAGGGCTCTAAGCAAACCAGGCTCTTTGACTCATTGTCTTGAGGGCCATAGACCACGGGTTATGGGTGCCTCACCCAGTCTGCCTTGTACTTAGATTGTAGGGAAGACCTGAGGGGCCCCTCTTCATCTTCCTAAGATAGCACCAGGCAACCTGGGAATCCCCAGTGATGGCATGGAGAAGCACCGGCTGTGCCCGCCTCTGGGTGACGGGCAGAACATGGGAGACACCCAAGAAATCATCCTGTTCCGTGGTCGCTTCTCCGCTGTCCCCACCAGCCAGGTGGGTTTGGCAGAGCTCTGCCCGGCACCCTCAGCCACCTTGAGCAAGGCCCTGAAGCTGTGGTCCCTGCTTGGATAGTTCTGTGACTGAGGAATGAAGGAAGAACTTAATGAAGTCTGAACGAACACACCAAGCTCCCAGTAGATACAGCTGCCACCTCCATGGTACAACCTGCCCATCTCCCCATCTCAGCTGAATGATGTCAGGATGGAGGTTTGCCAAAGGGACAGCATTGTGTTTACCTGTACTTGCAGGCAAACCTGCATTTAAACACAGAGCTGCTGAGCATCCCAGGGTGCTTCTGGGAAAGGAACCCTGAGTTGGATGCCCCAGGACATTCTTCGTGTGTACAGGAAGGGCATGCAGGGGCCTGGGTTCTGAACCATGAATTTTGTAGGCCTCCTCTAGAGTCCTAAGGGCATCAAGGACCCCATCTGCCATGTTTGAATCTGCACTCACTCCACTGACTGACTGCGTCACTAGTTCCCACGCTGGAGCCCTCGGGATGTTGCACAGTAACCCTGGTGAGGAAATTTATCCTGGAATCTGGGGGCCAAGGGGAACACATGCCTCAGTGAGGAAGGCAGCAGATATACCTGTCGGATGTGAGTTCTACCGTCATATGTTGCATACATGGCTCCAACCACAAGATTTGCAGGCAACAGTAGAGATCAGGGCAAGACCACAGTGGCACACCGTACAGGGCTGCTATGCTGTTCTCTTCTGGGTCAGAAAAAGCGACTGGCTGGATGCTCCGACAGGCCATCCCCACCTACACCCAGAAGCCAGACAAGGAAAATAAAGCGCCGTGTTGACCCCATGCCCACTCAGTGGTCCTCTTGTCTGCTTGCTTCCAGTGTTGCTCTGTGGTCAAGATGAGGTTCAGTTAGGGCAGAATGCTTGATCTGAGGCCTCTGGGCTAGCGAGCTTTAAAAATCAGACGTAGCCCCAGTCCCCCGGTATGTGGGCATTCTCTTCCCAAAGCTCCCAGCCCTCCCATTCTACTCCCTTTTATGAACAGCATCGAATGTGAGTCCTGGAGACCAGTCGTGCTGCCTCCTGGCCATCACGTGGCCCGGAGGACCACATACCCAGCGATGTCTGGCTTCTTTCGATAGTGTGGCCAAGGCTCATCTCCGGTGCCTTGTGCTCTAGACTCATGGCTGCTGTGTGCTTGTTGGTTCTCAGTTGCTGTTGCTGTCCGAATAAACCGAGTTGTGGTGTCTCCCCATCATTGTGCAGCCCTGACCTCATTTCCAGGCGTCAGTCAAGGTGCCGTTGAGTTCCCATGTTCATCTATGTGCACATGTGTCGCCGTTTCTTTTTGTGTTAACTGTGTTTCTCTGCTCTCTGTATGCTACGATGTCTTGACGTGTTAGGGGCCTATCAGACTCAAGGCTGCTACTTCCATGGCTGACCAGTTTCTACTGCTCAGCTTGCTTGGAGCCTACCCACCTTCATGGCTGAAGGGCCATCTGCAATAGCACTTACTCCTTACAAGACTTACGCCACAGCCAGACACAAAGGCAAAGGCAACCAGAGAGCCCTTTGTATCGCAGAGTCTGAGGAGTCCAGACTGCCTAAGGAGCCTGAGCCTTGCGCAGGGTGCTGCCACTTCCTGCCCTCGTCCCCCACCTGCTGAACCCTGTTCCCAAACAGTTGCCTGGCAGCTGAAACTCTTCTTGCTGTGGCATCAACTGGGGGAATCCCTTGTCTCCCAGGTAAACTAAGATTTAGGCACAGAGCTTTGGGATCTATCCCATGTAGATAACTCATCCTACAGTGGAAGTGACCCCACTGTGGCCATAGCTCTTGTGTCCTGGTGCTTTTCCACTAGAAACATCCGAGAGTCCGGTGTTTCATACTCTGGGCCTCCTGCCACCCATAGGAATTGAGCTCCGTTGGCACAAAGCCACTAACTGATCCTGGAATTGTCCTGACCTTTGGGAGGAAATACCTGGGGATTCCTGGTATGTGCCCATGGTGTGCACACAGGTTTTGTTTTGGTTTGTTTTACAAAAAGTACACGAGAACACTCTTGAACTCCTGCTGCTTGGTTCTAGTCTCTTCTATTTAAACTCTCCAAATGGATTTGCTGACCCACAGCTGGAAGCACACTGCCCAGGGCACAATACCAAGGGAAAGGCTGGGATTGTCAGGCACTAGGATTTGTCCTGGGATTTAGATGATTCAAAAAAACACTATCCATTCCGATGTGCTGTTTACTCTCGCTGTTTGCAGGTAGGAGTTTTCATTACTTTAATCCCTGCCTGACATTTCTTGCTATTTGCTAGCCTCATGGGTGATACACAGAATACACTATCAGCATGCCTGCATACACTTTGTTTCTGACTGCAATTGCCTGTCACCGGTACCCAGATGTTAGAGCTCTCCATTGAGTGTATCCATTTCTGAGTTAGTGTTCTCCATTGAGTGTATCCATTTCTGAGTTAGCGCTCTCCATTGAGTGTATCCATTTCTGCATCTAGCTTGTGGGGGTTCCACCCTGTGGACATGCTCCTATGCCTAGCTTCCTCTCCTTAGCCTGCTTACGATTCATCTCTTTACCATGAACAGCCAGTTTTCATGTGCTCACTGTGGGGCTTCTATACCATTTATTCATCCATTTTTCTTGCTGTGGACATTTGGGTTGTCCCAATTTGCCATTGTGTCAGAAGCACTGCTGTGAGGGGTTATGCTCTGCATACTTGCTTTCCAACCTGACATTGGAGGTAGAGGCATGTGGATGAGGAGTTCAAGGTCACTCTCAACTATATTTTGAGTTTGAGGTCAGGCTGGGCTGTGTGAGACTCTTTCTTGAATACACCAGCACTACCAACCAAAAAAACATATCTAGGGCTGGGGAGGCTGCTCAGTGAATGAAGTTAGTGTTCGCCATGTAACCATGAAGACCTGTGTTCAGATCTCCAGCACCCATGTAAAAGTTGAAACTGGTGGCAGCTACTTCTACACCCTTCAAACATCTCCTACATTCCCCTCAGGCAGGCAGGTCCCCAGGGTTTTCTGGTTGGTCAGTCTAGCCCAAACGGGCAAGCTCCAATTTCAGTGAGTAAGCATATCTCAAAAAATAAGGCGGAGAGAATAGACATCAGTGTCCTGCCCCCACAAGTAACATGTGCATGGGTACACACACACACAAATTATAATAATTAAAAACTATATTACATGTTACTATTGGGAAAATACACAAGGCTAAAGAAGACTTGAACACCATTGTTGCCAGCTGGGCCTGGCTAGCATTTCTAGCACCTTCTCTAAAACAATAGAGAGCATGTTCACTCTTTTCAAATGTGCATGGGACTCTGGCCAAGCCAGACCATGTGCTCTAGTCACACTGAAAACAAGTGTGACAAAATTCAGGCCTGGTTAGCAGTATAGTCCCTGACAAGCAAGGAATCGACTAGGACACACACCTTACATTTCAATGGAAGTGCCTCTTTCCATCAGTGACACACTGGTTACATCATTCTCTGCCACACTGGGAGACTGTTGTTTAATTTGTTCCATTCCCTCCACAGATGAAAGCCTGACCTAATCAACTTTGGACACTTGCTCTGTTGGTTCATATTCTAGAAGCTGCTCCTTGCTTACAGCAAACACTTGTGCTTCGAAAGGTTTCCATGTTGATCGGAGACATCACTACACCTCCGCCTTCTGATGGCACAACACCCCACTGCCCTTGGCACAGTCCACAAGGATAATTTAGAATGATCTAGACTGCTGCTGTGTGGCTGCCCAAGGCAGAGGGAGGGTGCTGTCCCTATGTTCACAATGTCCCCGATCCTTTGCAGAGGTCTCCTCCGTGTGTCTGCGGGACTCACTCCTAAGAAGAGCTGCTCCCCGTGACTGTCAAAGCGGATTTGTGTGTTATGCCTGCAAGTGTTGGTGTTGTGGTCCTTGATGCATCCTTTGTGCTAATCCTCGACAGGGAAGTTGGTATTTTCCCATTGCCCTTTCAACTCTGCTGCCTCAGATTTCTGTTGTGTGGTAGTTTGGGCTGCAGGATCTCCCCACTCTTGATGAGTGTTCCCACTGTCTTTGTAACATGTTGTATGACACTAAGGACACATTTCACAACCCCACTCATCAGCTCTCATGGCCTGTCATCAGCCTCAGATCTTAGACCTTATTCTGATGCTCAGATCTTCAAAGTCTCGCCACCTTCAAACCCAGGGACCCATTTACTACGATTCTTCCCTCCGGACCATGTCATGAGGATGCCGTCATACCAGTTTCCTACTTCTCTCCCAACTCTCGGTTTCTTTTCCACACACAATCCTTCCAGTTGGTCTTCCTTCATTTATTCCTGCTATTTTGGGCTTCGTGTTATTATCATCTTTCCTCTGTGGTACATCGTGCGTTTTAAAAATTAATAGACCAGAGAAAACACAAATTCCTCTTTATCTGATATAGATTGTCCATTTGTCTCAGTGTCTTTATCCTCAGCTGTTTTCTTTTCCTTGTTTACATGTCATAAGCCTGCATAACAATGCTGTTCGTGATTGGAATGTGAGTATACATGCATGTACAAGTGCATGTGTGCTTTAGAATGTATGTGTGTGCATGCAGGTCCAGGAGGAAACTATTGTCTTATAACAGCTTCTTGAGGGTCAGTGCTGCATGCATGGGTAAACACATGCATACGTGCAGTGACTCATGTACACACAGAGACATGCCTGTACATGTAGATACATATGCAACCACAGGCACAGGGAAACATGTATGCACACAACATTGCATAGTCACATGTGCATACACAGATGTGCAAGTACACACAGATACACACACACACACACAGACAGATATGTATGCATGCATTTATATACACAGGTACATATGTGCCCACACATGCACACACATGTACCCACCACAATGAGTTGTGGTAGACTATTCCTTTGGTCAGTGTCAAACATCTCTTGTTCCTTGTGAGAAATGTTACCCTTCCCCCAGTGATGTGGATTTTCTCTTTGTTTCTGGACTTTTCCTTGCCTAGCTACACAGATGGGAGCAGTGGGCCAATTACTTAATGTTTGTTGAAAAAGGAAATAGAAGTCTCTGACTCAGCTGGGTCAGGATTGGGAATGCAGGTGTCATGAATTCATGCCATTCCAGACCCTTGTCTGGTATGGTGGGATAAGACAGAAGGCTTACATGATCTCTCTGAGGGTGGTGAGAGACCCAGGGTTTTGAGGCCCTGAAGACAAGAGGCCAATGATACCAGGTCTTAAAGTGGCATCACCACGCTGGAAGCCAAGCACAGAGGCTGAGGGAAGTGAAGATAAGCTGGACTTCTTGGGCTGGGGACAAGGGTAGGACAGGGCAGATGGATTTGCTCATACCCAGAAGCAAAGGAGACCAAAAGAGACAGCAGGGCTGAAGTAAAGGCACCGTTCTGAGGGAGGGACATTGTCAGGAATAGAACCCTAGGAAAAACCAAACAGATATGACATGCAAAGGCCCAGGGACAGCCACGGTAGACAGCTTGCCGTGCTCTGAAATTGGCAGGAGGTCTGGATTTTACCCCTGAAATGATAAGGAAGCCTGAGAAATGGCAGTCGCGAGCAGGTTTGTGTCCTGATGGGGTGAAGGCCAGCAGTGAGTGAGTAAGTGGTCATCTGCTGCCTTGGGTGCGGATTGAGAAGGGGTCAACACAGGATCCAACCTAAGCCTTGATGAGGCTCAACGGAAGCGGTGTGGGCCTTGAGGAGGCCCAAGAATCCTGGGGAGTCTTAAGTGAGCAGTAACGTGAGTGGTGGGAGGCAGCTCCCAGCCAGCAGTGACCAAACACTTCACATAGGCTGGTGAGCAAGCAGAGGTTTATCTCAACCTGGAAGTGTACAAAGAAGGGACTTGAGAGGCGCCATCCTTCTCCCTTCCAACTCCCGCTGCCTCGGGGTCTTCCTCTGGCTTCCCTCTCCATCCCTCCAGGACACCGTTGTTCTTAGTGTTGAGACAAAAAAAATATGGATGATGGTGTTGGGGCAGCGCAGGGTGATTTGAAGTGGCAGAACGGAGGTCCTGGCAAGAGAGGAGAGCAGATGCAGCAGCTGGACTGTAGCCTAGGAGACCATGATCCAGCCTCCCGGTACAGGGCGCAGGCTTCCCCAGAGTGACAGAAGTTGAGGTCTCCACACACTTTTGTTGTGGCGCAGAAACAGAGGAGAACCTTGAGTCTGGTCTGCTGAGTAAGGGCGAGGCTCCCTGCTCCGGCCACTACCCACTCTCCATCACACACGCACCTCAGCACCCCTGAGCCCTCATCTGCTCCCAGCCGCCTCCAGATCCATCATCTACCCGAAGACGAAGCTGTTGCACCCATCTGAACCCACGTGAGCCTTATCTGTGCTCACGTGTGCACAGAACTCACCTGTGTTTATCCATGTTCACACCCACCTGTGTTCACTCTACCCTACCCCCCCCCACACACGCGCACACACACGTACACTAGAAACGCCTCCTCAGGCAGGTCTGCACATGGGAAGCTTGCTCAGGACATCCAGAGAAAAGGAAGAGGCCATCTGGTGCTGTGCCCTACCCCCTAATGTCACCTGTATACCCACATGCAGAATGTATACCCCCAGCGTAGTCTGTCTCACCCGGGCAGGTGTTCACTGGGGTGCCCCTCTGAGGCTCAATCTCTGTAATCCTTCCCTTGCTCCCCTGTGGGGTCCCCAAGGCCCATGAGCACCCACACTCCTGCAGCACAAACCTCTGCTCTACCCTGTGGCTCCTCCACACTCGCTGGCCCAGCGAGGGTCACAAGTGCCAGCTCCATCCCACTCTCATGGCGGGTGGTGCCTCTTAGATGGAGGCAGCACCTTCGCCCACCCTCTCACTGTGCAGCCCGAGCACATATCCCCAACTCCAACTGTCCCTCCTTCTTGCTCCATGGCTGGGCTGGTGTGATGACAGAAACTCACCTGTTCACTCCAGGGGTTCTGGGGTCTGGCCCTCCAGCAGTCCAGGGCTGCCTATGTGGCTGATAGCTGCAGGCTCACCTGAGAGGAAAGGGGGACATTGCAGGACCAGGAAATGGAGCAGCTTCAGCTTCTCTGCCTTGTCTGTCCAGATGGAGGCTGAGTCCTCTCAGGATAAGCATGAGGCCCAGCCCTTGGCCAAAGGCTGAGCACTCATGACAACAGCACATCCGGTCTTTGAGCCCCAAGCAAACGCCTTAGTGTGGGTTCACACTTTACTTCTAAATAAGGTGGGGTCACCCGTGGACACCCCAGGCTATTCCTGGTTCATCTTTTGGGTAAAGGGACTGACAAGGAGGAAACACATATGTGTGTGTGCGTGTGCACGCGCGTGTATATACACCACACACACACACACACACACACACACACACACACACACACACACACGGAACTAGCTACTGTCTATTCTAGAATCCCAAGAGCAGCAATCCTGGTACCTTGGTCCTCAGGACGGCGGACATGTCCTCCGTCTCCAGGAAATAGAGCCTCATTATGTGACCCAGGAGGCTCTATAGATCCAGGTCTGCCTGGCTTTGCTGTCTCCACCATGAAGGGCATTGGGGGCCGGGCATTCTCATGGAGGAAGGAATTCAGCTTCAGCACATGTGCTGAAGAAGAAGACATCAGCTGGGGCCCAGCCTTGCCAGTAAGGATGAGGCAGGGCAGGGCGGGCTCCACTCACTCTGTATGGCTGACTCGCAGGCCTGGCTCACCAGCTGGAAGATGGTGGCAAGGGACTGTGGCTCTCCCTGGAAGGAGGACATAGCTTTAGGACCCATGGCAGGCGCCACTAGGGAGCCCCAACCTCCAGATTATGGCCACCGCTCACCTTCTCTCCTCGTTCACCTTTGGATCCTGGGAGACCCTGTAGCAGGGGGTAAAGGAAAAAAGCTATCAGCATAGGGACAAGGAGCTGCAGGCATGGCAGCATGCAGCAAGCTTGACTCAGCACGAGCTGATGTGTGCCAAGGCCACAACCCAGCTACCAAGGTGCAGGAACGCATGCCCTCAGCTCCAGCCCAGAGCGAGCAAGTGAAGCTGGACATCCACAGCAGGAACAGCCAGCAGTGATCTGCACAAAGAACCTATCCCCAGCTGTACATTTTGTGCTGGGGAGTACAGGCAGAGGTTCCCAACAGCCGAAACACTGCCTAGAGAGCAGACCCTCCCTTGGCCCAGAGGCCGGCCTGAGCCAAGAATTCCTGCTCATCATCCAGCTTCTTCCTCCAGGTCATGCCCACACTACAGAGCCCACTTAAGGGGCCCTGAGCTGCTGGAACCCTACCCCTCTTGACTTAAGACTAAGGTGGCCTCCCAGGGAGCTGGATCCCCAAATGTCAACGTCTGCCTCCTTCCAACTCTGTGCCCCCATGGAAGCCACAAGAAGCTCAGAACAGGCAGATCTTCAATCAGGGAGCCCCCAAACCCATGCTTATACCATCTCTGTCACTTGGCTGCCTTGCTGGAAGGTAGGAGGTACTTACCGTGGGCCCCACAGCCCCTGGGGGCCCTCGTTCCCCGCTGCTGCCTCTGGCGCCTGCCAAACCCTGGAACCCCTGAAAAAAAAAAAAAAAAAATGCAGATACCAGAGTTTGAGCCCCAGGGAGTCTATTCCCTTTCCCAGATCTGTCTTGATAGCAGGGTCCCATTGTCCCACAAGGTTGACCCTGGCTGCTCTCAGGTCTTGCTCTCCTCCTCAGAGTGCTCCAGTCCTGTTCCCAAACTGATGTCTATAACAGACCATTAATCTTCATCCAGCACCCAGGACAAACCCTACCTATGCTCAGGACTCAGTACAGGCACTCCACCCCTCCCTCACTCAGCATCCAGGGTAGACCACCCACCCCTCACCCAGTTGTCCATTAGTGCTTATTCTGTACTGAAACGACCCCTGATAGGCTCTGGGTGCTCTGGCAGAAACACAATGGGCTTCCCCCAACCCCAGAGAGCATCCTTGCAGCATATCCTGCTAAGTCTCGTCTGCTGGCCTGAGCTGCCCTCTCAAAGGTTCATTGGGTACAGAGTTCCCAATTGGAGAAGCTCCGGCTTCCTGCAGGGTCCCAGCTGCTGGAAAGTCTGACAGTGGGAACGGTCCCCATTGCCAGTCTAGCCACCCACCCCTACCAGGCCCAATCAGGAGTCCTAGCTCCCCTGCCCTGTACAGGAGGAGGTAGGTATGGTTGGGCCTGTACAGAGCTTATTTCCACAGGAATCTGCTCCAGGAGTAAGGGCTTTTTCTGGGGTTAAGTTGGGGTGCTCCCAGAATCAGACACTCAGATGCCAGCAGAGCCCTGTGGAGAGCTGCAGCAGGAGCAAGTCCTCCTTCAAAGTGGTCTGGATAGCGGTGGGTATGGTCTGGACAGCGGTGGGTGTGATCTGGACAGCGGTGGGTGTCCAGTGCCTTTCTCTCAAACTAGCTGTCCAGCTCCAGGGAGCCTTGGGGATTCTGGGCAGAGCCTACCCTGGGGCCAGGTGGTCCAGGTAGGCCAGCAGGTCCCTCTAGTCCTCTCATTCCCTGATGGGCAGAAGAGGGGGAAACTGAGATGGAGGCTTATATCAATCCTTGCCCTTTACGGTGCCCACCTGACAGCCCCTGATAATACTCTTCTCACTGGCCTTTCTCTCCTACCGGCTTGATGCCCTCTGGGTCCAGGCCAGTACTGTCCCAGGAAGGTGGCCCACCCTAAGAAGGTGGGATGTATAATTGCCCCAGCTCTGATTACATCTGCCCTTCATCCCACCCCAGGTGATGCTATTTATCCTTAGTGTGGGCTGGCATAGCTTTCTTTCTAGCCAGGCCTTAAGGAGTAAGGGAAATGAAGCCTCGGGTGGAGGAGAAAGCCTCTCTACTTCCCGACTTCCCACAGCCTCTGTCTCCAAGTCTACCTGGGCCCACTCTGTCTCACCCATCCCCTCCCGGGCCTGGAGCCAGTACCTTCGGTCCCTGTAGGCCAGCTTTCCCGGGGAGGCCCTGCTGGCCAGAGAGGCCCTGGAAGGGAACAGAGATAGTTCACCAGGCAGGGGCCAACATCGTCTGCAGAGGAGGGTCCTACCCGAATCCTTTCCCTGCCATCACCTGCAAACCTGGGGGTCCATGATCTCCCTTCTCTCCTTTGATTCCTGGGGGACCCTGGAGGGGAAGAGGGACTGAGAGGCGGGGGAGAGAGACAAAGCAGAAGAAGATGGATATGGGGGAGCACCTACCATGGGTCCCTGGACTGTGCGGCCCTGGGTCCCTGGTGAACCCTGCTGACCTCCAGGCCCTTCGGGTCCTGTCTGTCCAGGTGGTCCTGGTTCTCCCTGGAGGCAGGAGAAGCACTGGGAGAACAGACGCCTTTGCCCCCTGTCCCTTCCTATTCTCTACTGGCCCTCAGCACTGTCCACCACCCTGTGGTTTTCATACTGGGCCATTAATGGGGGACGTCATTCTGTAAATATGTTTCTCTTATTGGTTAATGAATAAAGCACTGTTGGCCAATAGGAAAGCGAGATAGGCGGGACTAGGAGACTAGGAGGATTCCAGAAGAGGTAGGAGGAGGTTCAACATGTAGGACCAAGAGAGTAGAACTGCGGACCCTCTCTCTGGTAAGATAAGACCATGTGGAAATATTGGTTAATATTTAAGACAGAGCTAGCCAATAAGAAATGCTAGTAGCAGGCCAACAGCTTTATGTCTAATATAGCGTCTCTGCGTGTTATTTGGGGCTGGCACGGCTTTGGGACCAGGCTGGCTGGAAAACATGCTCATAACAGGCCATGAACACCTTCACTGGAGAACAAAGTTTCTCTTGTGCCTACCCTGAGCAGGCCCTGATGGGACCCTGTCTTCAGGGTGCAATCAGCCCCTGGGCACCTACCCAGAGCCACAAACAAGCCAAAATGGAGTCAGGGTTTGAAGCTATCCCCTCTGCTCCACTCCAGTTTCTCTATTCTGCTCTGGATCCACAGAGGCTTGGAGAGGAAACATGCACATCCATCACCAAGAGGAGAGAAGGAACTTAGTGGGCTGTTACATGGGAGCAAAGGGGTATCTCCTTAAGCTCTGACACCCAAAGGCCAGACTCAGTTCTGATAGATATCCAAGCTCTAAGGGACAGGTGCCACCAGAGATATTTAAACTGAGATTGAGATTAGGGGGAACGCTTCTCCTCCTCCTTCTTTTTAATTAAGCAGATCAGTGTTCCAAACATGATACAGCAAACTGCTCAGTCTTATTAATGTACAACTATGAATAAAACACCAGCATGGAGATCACTGCCACATACTAGACAGTGACGAGGACCACAACCATGCTGGCTCCTTAGTGAAGCCAGGGTACTCAGCATGTGGGGAAACAGCGAAATTAACAATGAGTAGCTTCAAGAAGAAAAAACTGCTTGATCACATCCATAACCACTGGACAAATGGTACGTTTCATTTAATGTCTGTTTGATCTGTGTTTTCTAATTTCAAATTAATATTGAAGGAATTTTGTCATCACATGGAAATGAATATCTGTCTCCGTGTCTGGATCATCGCTGCATTTAATGAATTACTATTTAGCCAAGACATCTGTACTACCACATGACACCTTCTGACAGAGTTCTGAACTTGAACTACTCGCCAACACCACCAGGCAATAAAAAGAAACCAGAGTCATAAACATTGGACAGGAGAAGGAAAAGTAACTACACAGGTAATCTCATGTGAATCTGAAAAACACGGATACAAAATACATCACAAAGAAGACAAATAAGAACCCTGGATACAAAAATAACCCTCAGGGAAGGAGCCTGTACGTAAACCACAAGAAAAGCTGAATGAGAACTAAGATCAGCACTTTCGCTAGCAGCAAAAGATCGTTATTTAGGCATGGACCTGAACCCTTCAACACACAGGAAGCCATGCTCCTGGAAGCAAACTCTAGAAGTACCATTTCTTCCTAAGTACAGCTATAACCTGAACTTGGTTACAGTGAAAACACCAGCTACATTTCCCAGTCTAAGGACAAGTGAGTTCTACAGTCCACAGTGAATAAGCAAAGAGAACCAGCTGTAGTGGGATATTCCCTTTGTCTCCTTCTGTGGCACTGGCCACACCCATTGGGGGTGGAGCCAGGGGCGGAAGTGACCTGTGGAATTTTCAGAAGACACCTCAGCTAGCAAAGCAAGTTCCAGGCTAGTCCAGGCTCCATAGTGAGACCATCTCACAAACAAACATTTTTTACCCACCAGGCTGCCTAACATCAGCCAGTTATCCAGGGGTAGCCTGGAGAGCAGGAGGCTCACCATGGGAGGGCAGGTCCAAGGAAGATAACTGACAATGTGCGTAAATGGACACAGGCATCCATCCCTGAGGATGCCCGGACTCCTGCAGAGTGTGCCCTTATACCCATTCCACCTCGAAAGGATGGCTAATATCTACGCATGTCCACAGTACAAAGACCGCAGCCAGCTCTGTCTGAGTTCACACAATCCTTCCCAAGAGGCACTGTGCCAGGGTCAGGCAGGGCAGGGTCCAGTTTTACAGACACCCTGGGAGGCTGAGAGAGGGTGGCATTGTGGTCTACCAGTCTAGAATCACCCAAGAACGGCACCTTGCAGGCCACTGTGGGGGTGGTACTGCTACTGAAGTACACTGCCATCCACTTCACACTCATCAGACCAAGGCCCTCATCCCAACACGCCCGGTAGACCTTATAGAGCCACACCCTGCCCTGGGTAACGAGACCGATTCTCCCACTCCTAGCCAGAGGGGGAAAACTCATCCTGCAGTGGACTGTCATATCATCTGTTTTATCTGTCAGGATACAGCAAAATCTGTCATTTCCACAGCCAGACTATGTATGCTAAGACTAGCAGGATCCCTGATAAGGGTAAGAACAGAGCACACACAAACAACTTTCCTAGAGTCGCCTGATTTTGTCTGTACAACATGCATGCTGCCTGACCCTGGGGTTATCTCTGCTGCTTTAATACTGAGCAGTGTTATGAACCCAGAGTCATATGGAGGGCAAAATGCTGTCCCCAAGTAAGCCTTAATAAACTCAGTTTACTCATCAAGATCACCTTCAACGAGTCATTCTCCGGGCTATCGGTGCCACCTCAGTATGAATTTTACATCTCCAAAAAATTGACTTATATCCAGCCATACTCTGACATACCCACAAACCTCTGCAGAGTCAGACCCTCTCTCCAACATACCCATAGACCCTGTAGATGGCACCAGTTCAGAGGCTAACTGTGTTTGAAGCCACTTTCAGTCTCTTGTGTGCTGTGGGTGGAGGAGTTAGCAAGTGTCTATGGAGGGGAATTGAAGAGAGAGTCAAAGAGCTAGGACCCACCCACTGAACTCCCAATCCTCAGTTTCCCCTCCTGCGCCATGTGGGTGACCCTGTCTATGAGAGTAGGTGAAGAATAGATATCCACTAAATACTGGGCACAGGACCAGTTGTCCAGCAGGTGATAGAGGAGCCCAGAATAGCCCCTGTTTCTCTATGATGGGGAGCCCTTCCACCCGGTACGGAATACCATGCAACTTTCTCACTGTGCTCTGAATGCGGGGCCCTCCCACTGCAGGTCAGATCAGGTACACTGCTCCTGTACTTCACAAGACCTACCTTGGGCCCCGGGTGTCCCTGCTGTCCTGGAGTGCCATTCCTTCCAGGGAGGCCCTGTAAGATACAGACAGGACTCAGAACCAGCCCCATCATAATCCTGAGTCCCACTCAGCCTCCTCCAGTCCTGGACTCCTAACTGTGTGGCTGGGAGAGAAAGCAATCTCCAAGATCAACAGTGTCCTTACTGCCCTCCCCATCACTGCTGGGCACCCTCTGGATTAAGGCAGATCTGAGGTCACACCCTGGGTCCACACCAGGTGGAAAGTAAGTGCTCAAGACAGGAGTCCTGCGACCACTGACTCTGGAAGTATCGCTAGTGGCCCAGAAGCCATGGGCGTGCAGAGAAAGGGCCGGAAGAGGTACGAAGATCCTCTGAAGATAGAGGATAGAGAGTTTATGGTGCAGGCTAACTCTTTCCAGTACCCAGGGCAGAGCTGCCTGTAAGACTATGGCTCACAGATTGCCACGTCATAGCCCACCAACCACCACCAGCACAGTCAACCAGTGAGACCTGGACTCATTACATCAGGAACATCAGTGAAACATCTTCCCACAGACAGTGGATATATGTAAGAGAGAAAAGCTTAACCAGTGTACGGGGGGCTGACCAGACTGATGGCCATAGGAGAAACCTAAGGAAGCCTGTCTTCCGTGTAGCATGGCTTGGGAGGGCTGCTGGTGGGTTTGGTTTCCTGAAAGCTGGTGTGAGGGGCATTATGTCAACCACTCTATCTCCACCAATGGCAGCAGAAGTCCCTGGTCACCTCCCGGGAAGAAGACACTCGACTCACCGGAGGGCCTTGGGGCCCTGGTGGCCCAGGGGTCTCAGATGAGCAGATGCAGGAGGAGGAAGGGAAGGCTGGGCATGTCTCTCCATCCCTCTGGAAGAAAAGAAATCACTTGTTCAATGGACCCTTGGGCTCTGGATCTCATCAGTTCTTAAGACTCGGCATGGCCAAAGGACACCTGACTCTAGAAGCCTCTGGTCATCACCAGAAGCAGGTCAGGTCAGAGTAAAGGCAGCTAAGTCCTGCGCATATGGCAGGCTCTGTGTGTCCCCTCCTGGATACACACATGGACCCTGTACCTCCTTTTCCCTGTTCTCCTCCCAGGCTCTTAGCATGGCCAAGTTCAGTATGGGTTCTTAAGGGACTAGTGAGGATAGCTGCTAAGTCGCCAGCTCCTGGGATGGCCCCACAGCCTCCCTGCATGAGCGTCTCCCTGGGCAGATAGGGAAGGGAGGCAGCGTCTCCTTAGAGCTGGCCAGGGACTTCTAACTGACACATGGCTGCTATTGGTAGAAATGGATGCCCTACACATGTCCCAGTGCATGGCAGCTGCTTTAACTGTAGAAGAGGCTTCTTGGCCTTCCCACAAATGCCTGTGGGACTTTCCGATTCAGGCTCCTGGTCACCTCATCCAGATAGTCTGCTTTCATCTCTGCCAGCATGGTGTAGACAGGCAGTCTACCCAGAGTCTGTGACCCTTAATGGCATTCTCAAAGGACCAAGGTACAGTATGCAGGACCTTGTTGCTACCTACCAATGCAGGGAGTTCACAGCATCTGTCCTTGTCCGCCCAGGTGTCACTGCACACGATTTGCAACATTTGGAGCTGGAACTGTGAAGAAGGGGAAAAGTCAGGCCCCACAGGCAGAGCCCACCCATCCTATGAGGCAAGGCCCAGACTCACCGTGGCTGAGCTGCTCCGTGGTCCCCTGGCCTTGGCTAGCCTCCCTAGTGTGATGAACCCAGCTGTTGGTGGGCTGCCAGCATCCCCAATAGGCCGCTCAGCCACCTTCCGACAGTCCACGTAAAGTCTGACCTTGGAATGGCCCACAGCCACATGTACCTGTAGAAGCCATAGTGAGTCTTCCATCCCAGACCATGTTTAAACAGATTAAAGCCCCCCCCCCACCGCACAGAGGGTCTGGGGTCAGATCCCAGCACATCGGACCTGGGGTCAGATCCCAACTCCACTCTGGGGCCACAGCTTCCCCAGGGGAAGCCACTGAAGGAGCCTCCCAAAGAGAAGAATTTGCTCTATGACCCAATCAGAACAGAGGAGCACCAGGGTCAAAGGTCCTAGATGGACCAATGCTTGACTCCCAGGGGAGATAACCACATGCACGGAAGGCCAGGCCAGAGGGTCGGGGCCTGCAGGGCTCAGGTAGACAGTTCCCAGGACCTTGTGGAAGCTTCCGAAGAAAATCTTCTTTGCATCCTGCAGGTCAAAGGTGACCTCCTGCAAGGTTTCCCTGGGATCATGGTTGAAGTAAGTTAGAGACTTCCTGCCAGCTGCCAGGGAAGATAGTGAACAGATGAGAACAATAAGCTGGAAGAGGGCGGCAGTGACTGAACCAAGGATCTACCCAAGGCCCAAGTAGGGCCTCCATAATGCAAAGACATGGTGATATCTAGGGTATCTGCTCTCACTGAGGATGGTCTTCCATGACTCGTTGCCTGGGGGAAACCCACAGCTTGGCCAGGGGGTTGGCACCCTTATGTGCCATGAGGTTAAGAAAATAAGCAGGGACCCAATCCTTCCCAGCTGCCAAGGGTGACCCGATGGGGCCCACAGTCACCATCCAGCAGAACCCCGACGATGGGCTGGGAGTCCTCAGCCATCATCTGCCACAGCGCAAAGGCTTCTCGGGGTGTCTCGGGGAGTAGGCGCACAAGGAAGACGATGGTGTGTTCTGGTGGCAGAGCTGCTGGGTAGATGTCACTGGAGAGACAAAGGATGGAGCAGATTTCAGGGGACTGAGCTGAGGTCTTCCTGCCTCAGTTCCTCCATAATGAACCCGGGAGCGTATCAGAGCATCCCCCCCACCCCAAAACTTTTAGTGTTCAACAAAAAGTGCAGAAGACCCTGGGCCAACAGACCCTCTGCTCCCCAAAGCCAGGCCAAGGCTACAATGAAGGTCACTGTGCAAGGCCTGCTCAGACCCTTATGTTCAGTGGCACTGTAGGTGAGGGGCCTGACTAGAGCAGTCCTGGGGTCAGGAGCTGCTCCCATTGCGTATGTGTGCTGAGGTATCTGAGTAGGCGATGGGAGGGTCCATGCCTGTGCTGATCCAGGCTACCTAAGGGCAGAATAAGGGCAAAACATGGAGTCTTGAGCCACAATCTTTTAGCTCTTTCTTCTTAGACACAGGAACTCACTACATAGCCGGGACTGGCATTAGACTCACAGTCATCCTTTCTCAGCCTCCTGAGTTCTAGGATTCCAGGTACCACACACAGAACAACTCTATAGTCCTCTAAACACAATGATCAGAGGGCCTCGCGTGCTCCTTCCTCGGGCAGACTCTTTATTCCACCACAAGAAAGGATCCCTCTGCTCCCAGCAGCTATGGGGTAGGGGCCACTTGAGCTAGGTGGGCACTCTGAGGAAGTTACATATCTGTCCCACCCTGTTTTGGAGCCCCAGAAGGGCAGAGAGAGAGAGAGAGAGAGAGAGGAGAGGGAGGGAGGGAGGGAGGATGGAGAGAGGGAGGGAAAGAGGGAGGATGGAGAGAGAGAGAGAGAGAGAGAGAGAGAGAGAGAGAGAGGAGAGGGAGGGAGGGAGGATGGAGAGAGGGAGGGAAAGAGGGAGGATGGAGAGAGAGAGAGAGAGAGAGAGAGGAGAGGGAGGGAGGGAGGGACGGAGGATGGAGAGAGGGAGGGAGAGAGGGAGAGAGAGAGGGAGAGTTCCAAGAAAAGTCACTCATTTGAGGAGAGGAAATCACTACCGAGAATGTGGGCAGCTTTAATTCAGGCTTTGTGGTCAGAGTAGACACAGGGACAGCGGGCAGCAAAGATAAAGGGGGAAGGAAGAGGCTTGTGAAGGAAACCAAGAGACAGTCATTAAGATGAGGGACCGCCAAATATGCCAAGCCTACATGAGGACCAGGGACTCTAAACAGCAAGGTCAAGCACAAAGTACGCGTGGCAATGGCCATGCCTGCCTCAAAGAACACTTCTCACAGGAAAATGTAAAAATAGATCATGCAGATAGAAAAGCTTTCAACATCACTGTCACTGAGGGAAAGTTAAAAAAAAAAAAAAAAAAAGTGAGAAACCAGTTTGCTGTCAGGAACATAAAACCTATTTAGTGTTGGTGGAGCGAGGAGAACCTTGAACAGTGTTGGGACTATAAATTAGTATATGGGAAACAGGATGGAGAGGCCTCAAAAAACAAAATAAGAATCAGCCAACATGTCCATTAAATGTTTTAGTGAGAAACGAGAAACAGAGCCAGGCTCTGAGGACCAAGTGGTGTGTATACACACCTCAGGGTAGGAATCGTAGAGGGTAATGTGTGGGAAAGCTATTGAGATGTAGTAAAGTCTAGGAAAGGAAAATCATGAAGAACCAGAGTGTGTGTGTGTGTGTGTGTGTGTGTGTAGAGAGAGAGAGAGAGGACAGCTGCAGACCATCACCAGCAATGGTTTTACAGTAACAAAATAGTAAATGTCGGAAGAGATCACTGTGTTTGCCATTAACCAACCCACGCATAGAGAAAAAGATGGTGATCCAGTGTGGGTCTCAGCTGAGTGGACAGGAAGGGCATTGCCAACCTCTTCTGCATGCACCTGCCCCAAGTTTCTAGCTGTTCTCGTGGAAGGGCATGAACAAGGACAAGATCCCTAGCTTGCTGCCTGCAGCTGGGCCCCAGACTGCTATGAGAGCCCACAGGGCCATGCTCTCTCTGTCCACTCGTGGCCTCCTTCCTTGCTCGTGGGGGTGTGTGGTAGTGGTGTGAAGACCGGGGCTTTTAGTGCTCCTTCCATACTTCTGTGAGGCTTTATTTCTATTTTTGCTACATGCCCAGGTCTCAGTTCTTTCGGTGTGTGGGAAGTGAGCCTGCTCAGTCATACGATGTGCATCCAAGTTCAGGTTAATGACTTATGCACGAGATAAACAGGGATTAGTGTCTACCACACACCAGGGGCCTCATGTGCCTTCTCTTGGCTTCTTGAAAAGCACCCACTTCTCACAAACCTAGGATGCTGGTAAATTTGCCCTTCAGGCTGCAAAGCAGATACGCAGCCACTCAGAGGAAACAATGCCATGTCTTATATGCAGAATTTTGTGACTGTGAATTGATCCCTGAGCTACCCAGGGAAAAGACCCATGTATGGCTTCAAGTCATGCTGGGCACAGAGCCTAACCCCACACACAAGACTTCATTAATCTGTCAGAAGAGAACTTTAGGAGTACATGGGCTGAAGCTATCCAGTCTATGGTCTGGTTGACATGGTGTCAGAGGCTAGTGAGCTTGGGGCCAGGGTCACGGCAGAGCCACAGGGTGTGTGGCAGGCTCCATATTAACTCTTCCCACCCCATTTTGCACAAACTCTTCTTGTACTTGAGGCTCCCTTGGCCCCTCTCACCTGGCTCGCCGCATCAGTTGAGCCTCCTTGAAGACTGTGAAGGTGGGGGCCATGCCCAAGGCTGAGGGCTCCATAGCCACACCTCGGATAGAGGCATACTCCTTTGCCACAAGACCAAAGGCCACCATCAGGTCAAACCCTGGTGGAACAGAGGATGGTGACTAGGGACAGTCAGGGAAGAGGGAGGGACGGGGGCAATGATTCCACTTGGAGAGGGTGACAGGATGTAGAAGAGAGGGCCTAAAATGATGGCCTGGGATGGGGTCACCAGAACGGTGAGAAGCTGGAGCAGGGCCTCGGGGGTGGCCATGGGCCCAGCACTACCTTAGACTCTAGTCCCTTTCTATCCAGGCGGACACCTGTCCCAGGTCACTCTTCCTCTTCCTCAATTCCAGCTCTGACACTGGGAAAATTGCTCACTCAAATGCTCGAGCTTGGAAAGCCATATACAGGACACAGTGGAACCCCTGACATTCAGACCCAGCCATCTGCCCCATACTCTCCTACCAAGCAGCACCCACACTCTGCCCCAGCCCAGCTCCAAGTTTGTTCTCTTAAAGGAAGACCTTGCTGAATTCCCCTCTAGCAAGCACAGACGCTTCAAGCAGCCCCTTTTGCTCCTTGCAGCCTGAGGACTCTCCATGGTCCAGATCCCAGCTGCTGGCATACAAGTCATTGGGATGATCAGTATCATGGTGGGTCCTCCAAGTTCCAGCTCCTTTTACAGCATTAATTGGCACAAATCAGAGAGTGAAATCACATATGTGTTTGGTGTTTAACTGTGCACCACCATGCTCAGGGGTGCAGAGGTCAGCCTTTCTGAGCCTAATTCAAGGAAGCAGCTATGCCTTCCCATCTGCCCACTGGCCCTGCATTTCATGGGCCCCACCGTTCACCGATCCCACCACTCACCATCCCTGCCAGCTTCAGGACAGTGGCAGCCCCAGACTGAATCTTACTGGGATGCAGGTGAGAAATAACCTTCATACCACAGAGCCTACCTGTCCACTCTGCACTTTAAAGACCTTCCCCTGCTGGATAGAACCCCTGATGTGCCTCATGCTAAGTGTCTGCTCTCTGCCCCCCCCCCCCGCATAGTACATATGAGAACTCCAGGCTTTGCATGACTTGCCCCAGATGCCTGGCAGCAGGGAGCCCTAGGGACTAGCCAGCTCTGCCTCTCTGCCCTGCACATGCCAATACTAACTCTGGATGAAGCAGGAGTCGAACTTCCCTGACAGCCTTGTGGGTTACCTGAGAAGGTTCAGGCCTTGGCCTGCAGCACCCTGTGGTTGATCCTGGGTCACGAATATTCTGCCCCAACCTTGGTAGAGTCAAGAAAAGGAGAGCAGGCAAACAACGACAGAGCCCGGCTGACACAGATACACAGGACCTACCTGAGAGGGAATTGTCCGGGTGCAGGGCTGGGCAGGCTGCTGAGAGGACATGGAGAGTGTGGTGAGTCAGATCGAAGTGAGCTCTACTTCCAGAAGGGCCACTTCACGGGCAGTTTCAGGCCTCCGGTGAGCACAGGCCGACCTGCGCGTGCACGCCCCCTCTCCCTCTCTTTGGCAACGCCACCTGTAGCCTCAGAGCCTCAGTTCCTCTCACTGCCACGTCAGGATCTCACTGAGTAAGCAGGTACCCCTGCCTGTACACCCGGGGCCAAAACCAAGCTTCCGCTGGAGACTGTGCCCAAAGAGTTATGGGCCCAAAGCGAGCCCCAGGCACCAGTTGGAACAGCACAGGCCTGGAGGCAGGGATACAGGCTGTGGCAAGAATCAAGGCAGCTGAAGTCACAGTCGGAGCTCCAGGCATAGCGGTCATCCACCGGGCAGTGAGAAACCAGTCACCACAGACAACTGGTACCTGTCACTGCTTTGGTGGCCTACCGAGCCTCTCCTCGCAGTCTCTCTCTGCCTACCTTTCCCAGAATTCTCCTCGTCTCCTAGTCCCGCCTATCCTCCTGCCTCTATTGGCCAAATGGTGTTTTGTTCATCAACCAGTAAGAGATACATATGCACAGAAGGGCATCCCCCATCAAACTGGGCTATAACTGGATGGTCCAGGATGGGGCGCTTTAGCTGAGGCAGTGGGCTTCATGGACTCTGAAGGCCCTATGCCCTAGCAATGATGGCTCTCAGGTGATTCCTCTCAGCTGAGCCCGGCCTTGTGGGTTGGAGGATACCAGAGGCCTGATTATGTTCTGTGGCGTCAAAGGCGGGTCTCTCCTGGGCAGAGATCGCCATCCTCTCTAGCCATTTCCCAGTTACTCTGATCCAGCCTGTTATATTTTGGGTACCCTTCTCTCCATGGCCTCTCCACAGTCTGTTGAGCCTGGAGCCTCACTGGCTCTGATGTCCACTGGCTTCTGAGGTCTCACCGAGTCTAGTATCTGGCCTAGTCTGGGGTCTGACCAGATCTGAGGTCTGACTAGGTCTGGCATCCAGCTGGGCCTTGAGTCTGGCTTGAGTCTGGGGTTTAATATGAGCTGCAGTCTTGGTACCTACTAACCTGTGCGGTATGTGGCAGACACTGCTACACTCTCTCCTGCCCCATAGACAGCTGAGACCAGGACCCTGTACTTGGTGGCAGACAGCAGGTCAGGAAGTACCACACGGCTCCTGGTGCCTGGCACAGAGATCTGTGGGGGAAGGAGGCCTCTGAGCCTTCCCTCTTAGATTGCCTTTTCCTTTTAAGGCAATACTTTCCCTCCCCTGCCCACCTTTCCCTCCATAAAGAAGCTGCTACCCTTAATAGGTAGATAAAATCAGCACCTAAACCCCTGGGTGACTCACCAATTTCTCTGGCCCAGAGCCTGAGGCCAGTGCATAGTTGACCCGGTAATGTAAGACATGGCCACTTGGTGGTGTCCAGCTGACCTGCAGGCTGTTGGGGGTCTCCGAGGACAAGACCAGGTTGGATGGGGGGCTCCTGCTTGCTGAAGCTATCCGGTGGCACAGACAATGTGGAATTCAAGGTTCTCCAGAATGGAGGTGCCCCAGCCAGAAAGCCAGCCAGCCATCCCAGCATCACACCATCGTCTTATGCTCTGCCCTGCCCAACACTAACAATGCCCCTCCTTGGACCTCAGTCACCCCAAGAGCCTGTACCCTTTGTGGGATCGGATGCATCGGTCTAGCCCAGGGTCTCAGGGGCTTGGGGAGCCTGCTTGCCATGGGAGTATGAGGTCCTGGGCATGTGGATCCAGGAAGGTCTGGGTGCCCTCTGCTCCTGCCCCAAACCCATCTGAGTGGAGGAAAGGCCACCTACAGGGGATGTAGCGGAGGGACACAGGGTCGCTGTGAGTGCCGTCCCTGTAGTAGGCAAGGATGGTGATCTCATATTCCACATGACTCATCAGGCCAGGTAAGACGGCTGTGTCAAGGGTCCCTGGGACAGAGATCTAGAGAAAGGAGGGTCCAGGGGTCCACCTGGATCATAGGGAACCTTGCCTCAAGAGGCAGGCTCACAGGCTATGGGTAGACAGGTATTCCCAAGACACAGGACTTGGATGGAAACACAGAATCTAAGCCCCACTTGGCCTTGGGGTCTGGGGCCATAGGAATGTCTCTGAAAGGTCATGTGCCCTCTGCCCCCTTACCTCGTGGGCCTTGCCCTCTCCCAAGGGCATCCACTTGATTTGATAAACAAGTACACCAGACAAGGCAGTGGCCACCCATGACAGCTTGACTGCATCTCCGGGGAGCTCCATCACGGACAGCTGGCTGGGGCTGGGAGCTTTCTCTGGAAGACGGGGTGTAGTAATGGAGTATAGAGTACTGACCTGAGCTGTTGCTTTCAGATGAGCGTCAGTCATATCGAGGAGTGTCCCTGGACCCTCTTCTCTCTGCAGACCTTCTATCACGTCTGCCCAGACACTTGTTCCTACATGGTCTGGCACAGCCAGGACAGACACCCATCATAGGCTCTTCAGCAGGACATAAGGACACAGTCCAGCTCCACCCCAGCCTTGACTCACTTGTGGTCACATGACCAGTCAGCGTGGAGGAGCCACCCCCGAAGTAAAAACAGGTGACTCGGACGGTGTACTTGGTAGAGGAGGAAAGGGTGCCCAGGGTGGCTGAGGTAGTATTCCCAGGAACCTGAGCCTGTGGGAGGTATACAGACAGAGCAGTCAGGCACCTGAGCCCCTGGCAGGATGGGGCCCACAGGCTGGCCTGTGACTCCCAAAGTAAAATATGATCAGCTGTGGATACCCAGAATGGCCCAGGAGTGGAGATTCGTCTCTTCCTGCCTCACCTTTTAACCCCGCAAGCCATTCTGCCTCTAAGTCTGGTGTGGCCTCAGTCTCAACATGACATCGCCATGCATGTACGTGTGCGTATGTGTATGTGTCTTTGCTTCAGGTTTTCCCCCAATTCCTGCCAGACACAGCCCCCTTGAGGGCTGGGACATTATTAATACTCTGTCCCTCGCAGCAAACGTCTCAAAGGTCGTGTGAAAGGAGGCTAAACAGATATGGACTGAAGGTGTGCTTAAGGAAGAAGAATAAGAACCTAACGATGCTAGGCTCCCAGTGCCTGTGTGAATGCTAAGTCTACCTAGGATTCTGGGTCCCCCAGGAGGCCCTTGGGACTTTGGGGCCCCTGCTCTTACCTGCCCAGAGTGGCTGCCATCACTAGAGACATAGCTGACCTTGACCAGGCGCACAGGCCTCTGGGCTTCCCAGGACACGCAGGCTGAGTTGTAGCTCACATCTGAGAAACTCAGGTGTCTTGGGGGCCCCAGGGCAGCTGCAGAACATAACGAGGTCTCAGGAGCTGGCATCCCTACACTTGGGACTGGGGAAAGGGTAGGAAGCACTAAGACTGAGGAGCATATGGGACTCCAGAGTTATCTGTGGTCTCCTACCCTGGAGTGAGCTGAAAAGCAGAGCCAGGTATCGGCTATGTGAACACGTGGCCTGGGAAGATACTCACTGGTCCTGGCATTGATGCTCCGGACCTCGCTGGCTTCTGGTCCCCGAAGGCTCTGCACTGAAACCTCATAGTCCTGGCCTGGCTCCAGGCCATCCAGCAGTACCTCAGGCTGCCCCACGTGTACCTGGCAGGGGCATGGCAACACGTGTCTCAGCACCAAGTTCTCCCATCTGCCCCACCGGACTCCCTTTCCCCATCTCTTACCTCTCTCCTCTGCTCCTCACTGGGGGAGGCAGCCAGCAAGTACCGCACCAAGTACTGAGTGGCCCCAGCAGAGGGCTGCCAGGTGAGGTGGAGGGTTCTGGGAGTCACTGAAGCTAGGGTCAGTGCTCCAGGTGGAGGCAGGGGTGCTGAGGAGAGGAAGACCATCAGGGGAACTCTTGGGAGTGGGGCGCATGCAGAACTCATAAACATAAACAAAAGAACCCCCTTTCTTTTTCTTTTTTTTAATGTTTATTTATTATGTATATAGTGTTCTGCTTGTATGTATCTCTGCAGACCAGAAGAGGGCACCAGATGTCATTATAGATGGTTGTGAGCCACCGTGTGGTTGCTGGGAATGGAACTCAGGAACCAACTCAGGACCTCTGGAAGAGCAGCCAGTGCTCTTAACCTCTGAGCCCCTTTTTCTGACGTTAAGGCTTTCGGTGGGTAGGGTTATACAGATGGGGCCCAGTCAGGTAGATAACCACCAATCAGAGCACAGGATTCTAAGTCACTTGTCTCACATGTCAGCGGGCTGTGTTTTTCAGCTCACAATTCTGGGGGAGCCAAGTAATCCCGCTGGCCTAAAGCAATTTGCTGCAAAGGTAGTGAGGAATGTTTCCCTTTGTAACCCTGTCATATCCTGGCACTCGCTATGTAGAAGACCAAGCTGGCATTGAACTTAGAGATCCACCTGTCTCTGCTCCTCCAGTTCTGGGGATTAAAAGTGTGTGCTGCCATAGCCGGCAAAGTCCTGAGTATACTGTCAGCCATCCATTGTTCCCTGTGAGTGGGTGAGTATGGGCATATGAGTTCTGTCTCAGTGCAGCTGTCCCACAATAGCTGAAAGCTAGTGGCCTTAGCCACGGCTGTCCCTACACAGGATGGGAGCCTTGAGGCAGCTTAAGCGGCAGTGACAATGAGCCAGGGCCAGGCGGTGGTGACACACGCCTTTAATACCAGCACTCGGGAGGCAGAGGCAGGCGGATCTCTGCGAGGGTGAGGCCAGCCTGCTCTACAAAGCTACACAGAGAAACCCTGTCTCGAGGGGAAAAAAAGATAGCAGGGGACTTGGAATGGAAGTTTATGGAGCACTTCAGACCCATGACTGCCTGTATTCACGACCTGATAGTACAATGTCCAAGGGGCAGGACTAGACAAAGGTCACCCCTCTACCTGTGGTTGTCCGGCCTTGCAGGCTCTTGCCAAACCCACTCTCATAGACAGGGAGCACAGAGACCACGTATTCTGTGTTGGAGGTCAGGTTTTGAAGCTCCATGGATGAAGCAGGCCCCTCCACCACCACCTGGGCAGGAAAATCCCATCGATAGTGTGTAGGCTTGGGAGACATGGTACCACCATCTTGAGACGTTAGGTCCCCATACAGATCAGAGCAGCACCGGGCACCATGGAGACAGGCGAGACAGTGAAGGGATCCATTTGTCTATCAATGTGTCATCAAAACCACATCTGGATGTCTGCAGTCACTGCCCAACACTCCTCACTCTGACTTAGTCTGGCTGGGTGCATCTGTGTGTAGCTACCCACCCCCAACCTGCATTCCCCTCGGCTGCTCTGTCTCGTGTGGACTTAGCCGTCTGTAATCCTTCAATCTAGCGCTCATCCACAGCTCAGCAGAATCCACCTGAGCCATGCTGGTAGAGCTCTGTCAGCTGCCCCAGCCAGCTCCCAAGGAGAGGCTGAACCAGGGGGCCCTTGGCTCTTACCTCCTTGGGGGCACCGCCCCTAGAAGGCTGCCACACAATTAAATATTTGAGGGGTGGGTATAAGGCTGGAGTCCAAGACAGGTGGACACTGGATGAGGTGACATGGGTCAGGTCCAGTCTGGAAGGCATGGGGAGGGGGTCCAGGGCCAGAGAAGTCGCTGCTGGTTTGACTGTGGGGAAAGGTAGTTAGGGAACAAGCAAGCAAATCTACTTGCTCCCCCTGGTGGCCTTGTACAGGAGAGACTGGAAAATCCTCCCAACATATCCAAGGACAGCTGTCACCCTGGCTTAGTATACAGACAGACCTCATGGGCCATAAAAATTGGCCAGGTGCACTTCAGTCTCCCTGCCCCTTGGCCACTGTGGTGCTGTATCCTTACCTGGGCCCCTGCCCTGGATTGTTTGGCAAATGAGGCGACTGATCAGGGCAGCTAAGGTGGCCAGCTGAGGGAAGTCCAGCACATTGTGAACAGTGATGTCCAGTGGCTGGGATGCCAGGAGCTTCAGCTCAGCCTCATCAGCATTCTTCACACCTGCTTTGGGGAAGCGTGTGCCAACAGGCCACTCAGACTCTCATCCTGTTTACAGACAGGACTGTATTGGAGAGAACAGCCAGATTTCCCTGCATATGGGAGGGTACAAACTGATGCCGTGTGTCCTAGGTCCCCTGGGGTCTCTCAAGGGGACACAGGGATGAGCTTAACTCTGGGAGCTCTGGGAAGAGGGCCAGGGGAATCCTGGGGAGAGAGGGGCTCCTAGAACAACTCCCTACACTTGAAGTTTCCTTCCCATCAAAAGCAGAGGGCAGTGAGTGTGGTTAATGCACCCAGAGAGCACCAGGGACAGTCCTTGCTTGGGGAGCAGATATGGGAGGTAGAAGAGTTGTCATACACAGGGACAGCTGCCAGGCAGGGGACAAGTTTGAAGGCTACTTGCAGCATGAGTTGAAGGGCGGCAAGGAGTTAGGGGAGTGTCGCAGTGAAGGAGGCAGGGACAGATTTTGCAGATGCTGCTGCAAGGTGCAGCCACGCACCTCTGTGGAACAGGACTCACCCTCTGGGCTCTATGAGTGTGGAAGCTGCAGGTCAGCAGTTAAGCATGCACCCAATTTTCCAGCAGAGTTGGTGAAGCCAGAATAGAGATGTGTCTGTGGCCCAGAGCCCACCCCAGCCATGAGCATTCTAACCCAGGGCCCAGGCACTGTGCAGGCTCACCCACAACAAAGACATCAATGTCCTGGTCCTTAAGAATTCGGGCAGCTGTGCGCACATCATCCTGGGACTTGCCATCTGTCACTAGAATCAACACCTTGGCTGCCTCTGCACGAGCACCTGCTGCTGGCTTCAGGTTCTGCCCCAGTACATGGGTTAGGGCAAGACCTTAGGAACATCAGGGACAAAGTGATAGGCAATCACTAGGACTTCCTCTTTTGGTATCTTCTCAACCACAGCTGCTCCCAGCACTTGATCCCAGGGCTCTCTGCTCACGTCTTGTCTGTCCTGCCTTGCCAGGCTAAAGACTCTTGGGATCGAGAACAGCTCCTGAGGAGGGGACCTATGGCCCAGCAAGGCCATGCCTACGTCTTCTAACCCACCGGCAAGGTTAGCAGTTCGACTGAGTGGGACCCAGACAGAAGCGGCCTACAATTGGTGTATACACTTGCTCTCAACAAGGTGCCTGAAGTTCCACGCTTTTGCCAAAAGTCGGGGCCGGTGGTGAAGGTGGAGTTTGTTCTCTAAAGTGTGAAGTGGGCTCAGCACCCGCCCATCACACAAGCATTCAGGGATGGAAGGGACATAAAAGGAGGCTGGCCAGAGACTTCAGAACAGCCAAGCCGCAAGGCCCAGGACATACCTGTGAAGGTGTTTCCTCCCCTGAAGCGGAGGCTGTGTACTGCTGCCAGCACCTGTGCCTTGGTGTGGAAGGAGTTCAGGTCCCACTCTGTCTGGGGTTCTCCACTGTACTGAGTCAGACCTGGGGGTGGGCTCTAATTGCTGGGCTGAAGGGTTTTTTGTTTGTTTGTCTTGGTTTCTTTCTTTTTTGCAGCACTAGGGGGAAAGCATGCTAGGCAAGCATTGTACTATTGCATCCTCAATGCGGGGCTGTTTTGAAGACCATATTACAGAGTTGCCTGTGCTGGGCACAGCCCTCGGGGGTTGCACTCCCAAGGAAGAGACACATTTTCAGGGCCCAAGACTCTCATAGGAGTATCATCAGAGGGGCTGACTGGGAGCCAGCCATCCCTACAGACCACACATAACAGCAGCCCCCGTTCACAGGGAAAGTGAATCAGTCACATGACCCAACCCAGACCAAGTAGGCTTCCATCCGCCAAGTTTCTCAACTCTGGGCAGGCTGATGGACTTTGGGATGCTACAGCATTCCCTATCCTATTATGAGAGCAGCTACCATCTTTCTGCAGGTGAGGACCTAAGCAGTACAATCTCCCCCAAGGGCAGGGCAAAGAAGTTGGTACCCACCTACTTGGACTTTATCTGGTCCTATTTCAAAAGGTATGATGATGCTGGCCAGGAAGTCTTTGACCTGCTGGAAGTGTCTGTGGCCGATGCTCCAGGACCCGTCCACCAGGAAGATTATATCAGTAGGAGTTGGGGGTGTGCAGTGGAACTGGGGGTCAGCTGGGGCAGGTAAGGATGGGTGAGGTCTTGGGTGAGGTTTATGCCCTCCCCAGGACATCTGAGTATTATAGATCTGACTGAAGTCCTTGAAATACCCTTCCCTAGGATCTTGGGGGTCAGGATTTCCAAGGACTTTGTGTCTCACCAGATTTAGAAAAGCCCTTGTGCATCTAGTTTGGGGTTCCAGCTCCTCTAAGTCCCCACAAAGAGATCACAGTCTCAGGTCTAGGGGGTCACCTCTGCCTTCCAAGGCTCCTGGCAGCACTATGTCTGAACCTGACAACTTAGTCCCTGGGCTGAACAGGTTCCAGCACCCGCATTTCCAGGCCCAGCTGCCTGTAGGTGGCCGCCAGTATGGGTGGGGGTGTTAGCACCACAGACAGTCCAAACTGGGTAAATTGGCAGAAAGATCAGGGAGGGGTAGTAGCAACCAGAACTACTTCTGTGGCCTCAGGATCTTCCACCACCCTAGAGTTCTTCGTAGATAAAATTCTCCCTGGGGACCCTTACAGTTTGACACAGACTGCACCTGGCAGGCTGCATGAGATTTCTAAACACAGCCAGGTAGGTGATGCCTCTTCGGCTTCTGATCCTCAGTCTAAAGGGGAGGGGCCAGGCATGGCTGTAAGGCCCTCAATAGTGGGGTAACACTGTAGAAGACCCAATCCATAACAACATAACAGGATACAGGGCCTGGGCATGAGACAGTAATAGAAGCCCTCTCACAGCTCTGTGTCTGGTGGAGAAGGTAGTGTCCTCCTGATGTGAGGGGGACAGGCATGGAGATAGCCTCACTTCATCTGACCCCACAGTTCAGAGCAGTCGCCTTACCTAGCTTCGCTTGCTTTCCCACAGAGTCTGCTTCGTGCCTCTGCCTCTCCAGATCTGTGATTGGCTGAGCGGGGTCCTGTACTCCAAGGCCCTGTTTGAGTTTCCTCTGGTCCTTATTGGCTACTCCTGGAGGCAAGGGAAAGGGTCACAGCTGCTACCATGCACCTCCCAGACCTAAGCTAGGGCTCTGGGGGCAATGACTATCTGGACCCTGTACCTGAGATTGTGAGTCCAGGAATGTGACTGACGGGTAAGCCTAAATTAAAGCTAGAACATGTAGTCAAATACAAACAAGAATATCTGGCCATATGACAAGGGATGCCAGAAGCTCCAGTGGGCTCTCCCCACCCCCAGGATTTACCCTCACTACACTTTGACCCACCAAGAATAGGCTGGTCTCTGCTTGAAGTAAAGGCGATACTGGGCGCAGGTGTTTTTCCAGGGTCGGAGGCCCCCAGAGGGAAGGAGGTTGGATCCACAGTGGGTCCCACCAGCCTGCGGCTGCCTCTGCTCTTCAGATCCTCAACTGCAAAGAGAGGAGGGATCAATTGTTAGGACACCAGCTCAGAGTGGGAGCAGGGGCTTGGGTTGGGGGGGTGGGTATGTACTTCCCAGACCTGTCCACCTCAGGAAAAATACGTCAGGTCACAAGCCCAGGCTATGAGCTCCCAACCCAGAGGCCTACCACCCATATCCACCCTGGCTGTGTTCTGGACAACTTACTCACAAATTCCCTTCGTGCCAGCAGGACAGGCCCAGAGCCAGTGAGCTCGAAGATCTGCAAGGTGTAGCCCTTGGAAGGGCTCAGGCCACCCACGGTGGCCTTGGGTGTCTTGGTGGTTAATATCAGCTCCTGCTCCAAGTCCCCTAGGTGGAGGTGGAGAGTTGTTGAGGCTGCCAAATTTACTATACATATGTGTGCATACATGTGGGTCGATGTGTGCACATGTTGATGTGTGTGTATGTGCTGTATATGTTTGTGCATGTACACCTGCGAATGTACTATTGTGGCATGCAAATGTACACATGTGTATGTGAGTGGATGGTGGATGTTTATATATGTATGTTTTGCATATTTTCATATATGTGTACATATGGAGTATATGAATGTGTGTGCTGCATGCGTGTGTATGCTAAGGTGATAGTCATGTATTCGTGTATATGTACACTGCACGTGTGCTTTGCATGCATGTAGGTATACAAATGTGCATGTGTGTATGCATGAGTTATATATGTCCTTCATGCATGTGTACTATATGTGTACATGCATATGTGTATGTATGGGTGTGTGCATTGGGTGCCTTGAATATATGTGTACCACACACATATCCTTCTGTGTGCATATGTGTACATGGATTATGCACATAGTGTAAGAAATCATCCAAACTAATCCTTCTTGAGACAAGAGAACAGGATGAGGGTTAGATGGATAGGAGAGAAAAGAAGTTTCTTCTTCCAAACCTCTGCAGAGGTGCCTGTGCTGTGTGGCAGCATCCACTTTTCCTGCTCTGAAATGCTGTCATATAAAGATAGGGATGGATCCCAGTATTGTATTGAAAACAATCAAATCCAGGACTGATGGTGCACAACTTTAATTCTATCACTCGAGAGGCAGAGACAGGCAGATTTCTGTGAGTCCAAAGCTAATGTTGTCTACATAGAAAATTCCAGGCTTGCCAGGGCTATACAATGAGACATTGTCTCAAAAAAAAAATCTTAGGATTCCAAAGGAACCCTATCTGGGGGCGGGTAGGGTAAAACTAGAGGGCATGAGCACATAATGGGAGCTGGGAGGTATAACTGGACTTGCAGACATACTCACAGAGCCTCTGGGTCTCACACACCAGGGGAAAAAAACACTTCCCACCTGGGAGGGACTTAACAGTGTTTTTGAAAAGTGTGGCAGTCCCCAGACCAACATGCAGTCCCACAGTAGGCAGTGGCCAGGAAGGGAGGTGCAAGCTAAGACGGTTTTGTTGTTTATAACAATATGCTTTCCCAGCAGGAGATGGATTCCAGCTGGCTGTGGTGGCACAGGCCTGAAGTCCAAGCACTCAGGGGGCTGAGTTTAAGTCTAGCCAGAACTACGTAGTTAGACTCTATCTAATTAAAAAAAAAAAAGAAAAGAAAAGAAAGAAAGAAAGAAAGAAAGAAAAGAAAAAAAATCAGGCCAGGATATGAGCCCACCTTCATAGATGTAGACCAACTACCATACTGAAAATGTGTTATGAGATTTAATATATCTACAGAAGTAGGATTCATGAAGCAGGATAGATAGAGATGTGATATTTGGTAATTGCAGCACTACCCATAATAGGTGGCATAGCTATCAGGCTTGCCACATGTTTATAAGGATGTGTGCTGCTGTGTCTAAGGTGGTCACCAGGAGTGAGTAACTACAGAGCTCATGAACTTTTCATCCTATACCTGCCAGCCAATCTTAACTTTACAGTAAAAGCAAACATGTTGGACATCCATCTGTGGTACAGTAGAAACACCCATACCACTAGCAACATCAGGAACCAACTACCAATCTGCAAGAGATGCAAGGAAGAGAGGGGCAAGTCACTCAGCATCTTAAAGATGCCATTGCTAGACAAGGACATGGGGATCTGGCTTCTCCTACAAGCAAATACCAAGGGAAACGGAGAGGGAAAAATTATGAGAGGCACAGGATTAGTAAAATGTGTACCTCAGTCTGGCGTGTGTTGAACACTTGGAAGTCCCAGTACTTAGGAAGCTTAGGAAAGGGAATTGTGAGCACAAGGCCAGGCTGGGCTACACAGAAAGACCCCATTTCCCGGGAGGGGCAGGGGGAAGGGGTGTATCCTTGTTTGGGGTCCTAATTAAGATTGCTCAATTGTAGGTTTATTGGATGAGCTGCAAAGTTGTGGCTTTAATTTGGAGGCATTCCAATGGTACTTGAACTGTGTTTTCAGTCCTTACTTCCTCAAGGTGAACAAACACAGACAGAATTATACAATGTCTCAGATTTGCTTGGAGATAAGGCAGCTCAGGAGGTTGACACGAGGGAAAACAAAGCTGGGCTGGCCACATGTTACCTGTGGAGCTCAGTGCCCAACACCAGGCTCCATCACACTGTGCTGTCTGCCTTCTAGGTGTTTACATTTTTTTCATAAAAATCTTAGACCCAAAGAAGAAGAGAGTAAAAAGATAATACAAGTATATAAAAAAGATAATAAATTAGAAAAGTGTAGGTTTAAAGTAAAATAAATCAATTACTTTGTTACATAAAAATAGATAAAATGTTTCAACTAAAAGATAAAGATTGGGGTTGGAAAGATGGCAAGCACTTACAGAGGATAAAGCTCAGTTCCCAGCCTAAATTGGTAGCTTACAGATAGATGCCTGTAACTCCAGACACAGGAGCATCCACATTGCACTTGTGTACACACACACACATACACACACACACACACACACACACACACAGTTTAAAGACAGATTATCACATTAGCTAAAAAGAATGCTCTGGGTCACTATCCATTTAGAAGCTTTTCTAAATTAAAAAAAAAAAGTGAAAAGTGTAGATGTAGACTCAAATCAATTACTTTGTTATTGATTTTATTAGTATTGTGTTATGTATTTTATTAGTATTTTATAAGATATCTTTGGCTTTGTTGGTTTACTTCATTTTATGTTCTTTATTTCTGTAATTTATTCTCTTTTCTATATTCTTCTAATCTACTTGAATTACTTTTATGTTTTTTATAACTTAATACAGATGCTTAAATTCTTAGTTTTTCTTTTTTCCTTTTTCAATCCTGGAGCTTAGTCATGCCAGGCCTCACATATGCTGGACAAGCACTACCAACAATCTACATCCTCGTCCCTACAATTTTTCTTTTATAACTTACATAGCTAAAGCTATTAATCTTCCTCTAAGCCACAGGGGGGAAATTTTAAAGACATCTATGTAGCTCAGGTTGGCTTTGAACAGGGGGACCCTAAAGACATCTATGTAGCTCAGGTTGGCCTTGAACAAGGGGACCCTCTTGCCTCAGCCTCCCAAGTGTCAGAATATAGGTGCAACCTCACCACATCCAGCTTATTTTGAACTTTTCCCATGTCACCATGACCCTGTCCCTGTAACTGGAGGACTAATGGCTCTCACACATGTTCACCGAATGCAGGATCCAGGCCATCCTTGAAGCCCTAGGACTCATTCTGATGAGGGAGTTACCACTCCTTCAAAGCACATGTTCTGAACACCTTCTGTGTGTGCTCATGCTGGGTACCGGGGAACACAGGGGCCTCTCCAACTGCATGCGCTCCACATGATCGAGGCTGACAGAGGAAAGGAACACAGGAAATGCAGAAATGGCCTTGCCAAGGAGTGGGAGCCACTGGATAGTGTGGGGAGATGCTGGCTGGAGCAGGCTCAGTGACCACCTACTGACTAAATCAGGTGGAAGCCTTGTTCCGGTAGATGTAAATGAAATGCACTGTCTTTTCTACGGAAGTGTTAAATGAGACAAAGGAGGCTCCATCTTTAATGTAACGTATAAAAAAGGCATCTGGGAGAAAAACAAACAAACAAACAACTCCCGTCCACCCTTCAGCTTTTTTCTTAAAACCCAAGCTGCTTGTGTTCAAGGTTGCGTCGTGCTCTTGGAAGTTGAATTTTGCTAATCAACTACGTTACTTTAATTTAGCCAATCTGTAGGAATGTGAGACCCAGCTCTGGTTACTCGGAGTGCAGCGCAGACTTCTTTGGTTAGGGAGTGTTCATTTGCTCGCTTGCTTAAGCTTGGCCATACACCATTCTGCAGAAGTAAAATTTCATGCTTTGCCAAAATAATACTTTGGACTGTGAGGTCATTTTCTTGATATTCTAGACCCATTTCTAACAGTCCTAACAGAGGGGAAGGGAGAGGAAGCCTAGTAGGGAGACATGAGCTCCATACCTGCCATAGGCGTCACCTGCACCAAGTAGCCAAGACCATTCCCCTCTGCTTCCCTCCACTTCATCTGCAGCTGGTCCTCAGGTAGTACTGCCAACCTCAGACGGCCACTTACTGCAAAAACAGGATTGGAGGTTTGGGTGCCAGACAGACTTACCAGTGACCAACTGACCACCTCCTACAAACAGAGGGAGGCCTTCCCTAAGAGCTGTGAGGGGACATAGCCCTACCTAGGTGTCTGAAGAATCTGTGGCCACAGACTTTTCTGTGGAGGGAAACTACTTCCTTGTGATTTTAGATGTCAAGGCTGCACTCCCTCCTTCAGCAGGAGGGAGTCTAATTCCACCCAAGGGAAAGTCCCTGCTGCAAAGGGGGCTCAGATCGGCACCCAGGAGGGCAGTGTCTACCCGGAGATGGCTAGAGGTGCAAAGATAAAACAGCAGCTGCTGCCCCACTGTCCAGGGCCTTGGGGCTTCCATTCTCAAGAAAGACTGTAGAAACAGCTGTGCTGCTGAAGACACCCCCCACCTCCCCCTCCCTACCCACCACCCCCACCCCCACCTCACTCCCACATCCACCCCTCCCACTCCCCCACCTCCCCACCCCTTCCATTCCACCCACCCTATCCCCCACCCCCACCCCACCCCCGCCCAACTACCAATGTCATGCTAGGTTGATGCATCCCTTGTGGGCAAACTGGATAAAGGACCTCAGCTGGAAATGTGGTGATACTGCCTGCTTATGTGCACACGGTGTGTCCGTGTGCACCTGTGCCTATATGTGGGCACGTGTAGGATGCACACCAACCTTCAGCACTCATGCTAGGGATGCAGTGTGATGGTTAGTTTTTGTCAGCCTGACAGAATCTAGAATCACCTCGGATATCAGACTTTGAGTATGCCTGTGGGGGATTATCTCGATTTTGTTAACTGGTGTTAACAATGTGAGGAGACACGTTTTAATTATAGATGGAACTATTCCTTTGGCAGGACATCCCAGACTAAATGACACAGCGATAGTGCGTTGGGCATCAGCATGCATTAACTTCTCTTTGCCCTTTGATGGTGGACACAATGTGACTAGCTGCTCCAAGCTCCTGCTACCTTGACTTCCCTGCCATCAAGAACTACACCTTGACCCATGAGCTAAATAAACCCTTTCTCCTGTCACAGCAACAGGAAAGGAGACAAAGACAAGATAATCCTGTCTTGGAAGAGGGGGAACCCATGGTCCCTGGGAAGGAGGCAGCAGTGGAGTCTGTGCTGACCTCCCAGAAACTTCCGGGCTCTGTGGTGCAGGCAGCTATTTTTGGGAAATGGGGACAGAGGCCTCTTCTAGTCTCCTCACCATGTGCTGGGGCACAGAGAGCTGGGCAAAGGCTGAGGGCGTCTGGGATAGACACAATGACCCATTCAGAACGAACTGTTTCCGGATGGGCTTGGCTGCTGACAGTCATCTACTGAAAGGCAGGAATGTGTCAGGGTAGGGTGGGGGCTCTGACAGGCCAGCTGTGAACAGGGCCCCCTGCTCTTAGCCATGAAGAGCCTTCTGTTTCTCCCCTCTCCCTGCAATGCATTAGAGGATTTTAGAACTTCCCTCTCAGAGACAGCACAGACACGTTGCCCTCCCTATCCTCAGCTGCACCTCCCAGCTGGTTGCTGAGCATGTGGGCTCTGCCTCTTTGGTTGGCTTCTGAAACCCCAGCCCACCCCAGCCATGCCAAGAGTTGATGAGGGGCAGCCTGTCATGTTGAGACCTGAGGTGAGCAGTGTATTGTGGGTCTTGCAGAAAAACTCTTAAGTTGGTCACACAACAAAGGCTTCCTTCTAATTGAAATCCTAGCTCACAAGCCCACCTTGGGGTTCCTCTATCTGAACAAAGGGAGCTGAGGGACCTACCTATGTGGCAGTTGCCTCCCTGGTGGACATGCTGGGAAATGAAGTCTGCTGGGCTCCAGGCCAACCTGAGTTGGACCCACTTACATTGCAGTGGACAATAGGGGGCAGGGAGAGATGTTTTAACTTGGATGAGGCTAGCCTTTGATGTAAGCCCAGAAATAGATTCAAACCTGTCAGGTGCCGTGTGGAGCATACATATTGCTCCTGGGAACTAGGTGTAGTCATGAGTGTGAAGGCTATAGGGATGCAGCAACTTGCCTTCCAGGGACCCGCCTGAGCCAGCAGCTCCACTGGAAGGAGTCTTTTACACAGACCCTCCCTGGGGAGCCTTTCCCAGGGAGATTAGCTTGAGCGGACAAATAGGAAGGGACCAGATGGAAACTCTTGTCCCAAGACTTATACATAGAGGAGGGATGCACCACCTGTCTAGACAGTACAGGAAGGCCTTTTTTGCCTTGGGAAGGAGGCAGGAGTCTTGCTCTTTAGTAAGTTGTGTGTGCTGTCTGAAACCACACTGAAAGGTTTGCAGAACAACGAAGCAAAGCATTGGTACAGGATTAAATTTGGAGCACACCAGTAATCTTGAAAACACTGAGACAAAGAACCATCCCCAGGTAAGGCTGAAAGATCACGAGGCCAAAGGTCAGTACAAAAACTGAGAATGAGGGGTCTCCCTGTTGCTGCGACAGCTCTCAAAAAGGCATTTAATCTGAGGAAATGTCTGTTAGGGAAGGTCAAAGGCTTGCAGCAGGGGTCCTCCTACAGGCAGGGTTGGGAGCATCATGTCCTTACCTTGTTCCTGCCCCAGTACCAAGGTGGCACCCAGCATCCAGAGGCAGAAGTGGAGGTAGGAGCCTCGGAGGCTCATGGTGAGCAGCCTGCGGGAGGAGAGGCCACAGCCCTTCACCACTCGTTTATCCGTCTGCCCCCTCCCTGACTAGAGGGCTAGTTTCTCCATCCATTCCCAGCAGCACGTCTGCACGTGTGGTGCCCAGAGGGCTACGACTTGTCATTATGGGGATGGTGACAGACACTGAGGATCTAAGACCAGCACTGAAACCACACTGGGGCATCCCACTGAACAAAGGACCCTCTGCTGGGAACCACTTCTCCCTGAGTAGGGCCCAGTCCATCATGCCTGCCAATGCCCCTTCTGGTGTTCACATCCACAACAGATGCACGCAGTAGGGGTCACCAAGAGTGGCAAGACCTTGAGGTCCCAGCAGCCCCACATGGTGTCTGGGATTGACATGGATAGAATCCTACCATCAAGGTCCTCTCATTGGGTGGCTTGCCCTCAAGCAAAGGAGACATTTGAGATCAAATTCTGACTAGAGCAGAAGCAGGCAGGCACATCAGGGGACGCTGGGTAGGGAGGAGGGGACGTAAACATGACCTGGTCTGGAACGTGTGAGCCTGAGGTGACTAGAGTCCTGAGGAATCCAGATGCCCCACCCCACTGAACAAAGGACCTAGTTGTACAATTTCCCTGTATATTCAAGGATTCTACAAGGAATCAGCTCTCCCCGAGCAGGACCCAGACCTGCAGGAAGGCTGCAGGCTGGTATGTACCCTAGAGCAGTAGCTCTCAACTTGTGGGCCATGGCCCCTGAGGGTTTGAACAGCCGAAGAACACTGGAAAACACTTACTTAACATTACGATTCACAACAGTAGCCGGGTTAATTACAAAGTAGCAATGAAAATAATTTTATGGTTGGGGATCACCACAAGACATGAGGAACTGTATTAAAGGGTTGCAGCATTAGGAAGGTTGAGAACCACCATCCTAGAGTAGATATCCAGGGGATTTAAACCAAGGCCACTTGTCTACAGGGTGCTACATAGATGACTCAGACCCTAAGGGGTCTGGACTCATTCTGAAGCCAGACCCCTCACTACCTCGTGCCAGCAGTCCTGAGTGCCATCTGAGATCCTCAGAGATCCCAAGAACCTGCGCAGGTGTCCAGGCTGTACTTGGTCCCTCTGCTTATGAGGCCTCAGTGCCAACCCCAATCTTTCTGAAAGGTCAAAGTCACCCTCCAGCACAGCCCTGAGTGGTTCCCTGGTGGTTCCCTCACCCACCTAGCCCAGGAGCCATAGATGAGTCACTCACCTCCTGCTCCAAGATAGTGATCCTCACTCACTAATGCCTCTTGGCCCCCCTGATCCAGCTGTGCCCACTGGAAGGCTGGGGCTTATGAACACCCCCTTCCCTGACATCACTTGTCCCGCCCTTAAGTCCTTCCTCCTCCCTTCTATCTGGTGCTGCCTAGGGTGTGTTTCCAAGAATGAGATGGTGGTCCCAGCACAAAGGACCCCATTGCGCGCCACAGTGGGAATCCCACTAGGGGCAGAAGGGAACAGCAAAAGCCTGTCCCACTGGCTTCTTGAGAACAAAGGCCAGTATGTGTGGTCCTGGGTGCTGAGTTGGTAAGTGCTGGGCATTTGGAGTCTCTGGCAGCCTATTTGGGGGAAGAACCACATAGATCCTACCAACCGCTAGAGTTCATGATCTCTACTCCCTTCCTTCCTGTTTACCCTAGAACCCAGCAAGAGTTTACTAGAAACAGGCCCATGCCTACCCTACTTCCAGCTGGGCTGCCCTTACACCGTGTGCCTTCCTAAGCCACTACGGAATGCATGGGTTGGGCAAGCTCTCCTCTCCATCTTGAACCCATGGTCTAGCTCCTGTAATTCTTGACAAGCTGGCCCACCAGACTAGGCTTAGGATAAAAGAGCCCCCGCTCCCACCTGAAGGCATGGCTTGTGAAGCAGCTACTCCAGGGTTCCCAGGGGACGAGTGCAGCCTCAGCTTTTGTTTTCAGCTTCACATTGGCTCCAACCCATCACTTAACCCAGCCTGATTGAAGTCCTGCCTCCCTTACTCCCACCCATCCTGACCCCAAGCTTAGGATCAGAAGTTGAACCACTGGCCTTTCCAGTGGGTCTCCCTACTGAGTTGCCCAAAGGATGGATAAGGACTCATCCTGGGATATGCTCCTTGAAGCTGGATGACTTATATATCCCACTTGTTCAGAGGTTATTCATGTCTGCGATTGCTAGGCAACTCCTCCACAGGTAGCCTTCTCTGAGTTGAACCACCTCACCTGCAGGTTAGTTATGGCTGCCAATTGTCATAGTAACCCCTCATCTATGTGTTACCACCCTTGCCAGGAGACAACCTGAGTTACACACAGCCTCAGGTAAACCTGGCCAATGAACAGTATGTAATCCATGCAAGGAGGAACAGCCTTCCTTTTTGATGCCATGCTGAAAACTCTTAACCCTGGGTCCCAGCCCTGTTCCTAAGAATCCAAATGAACCCCACATCCTGGGATGTAGGATTAGTCTGCAGACCTTCACCGTGGTCGGCCGAAGGAACTCATTCTGGCAGTCTATGGGTGTATATATAACACATCCTCACTCTCCTGCCCTGTGATCCTCAGGTGGGCTACCCTGAATCTACTTCAAGCTGCCTGGTGATGCTCTAGAAGCCCTTAACCAGCGCAATGGTCCTGCTTCCTGTACCAGCAATGGCATGCTCTGGGATCCATGCTCCGACCCATGCAAACCAAACCAGAACAGAGTGCCCTGGGGTCTGCTCATCCTTCTCCTGGACCACACAGCCTGATGGTAGGGGATCAGATGTGACAACACGAGTGTCAAGTGTGATGACTGTGGCTATCGGACACTCAAAACATGATCAGCAGGGCTGACCCAAAGGGCCCTCCCCTCCGGTCTGGCTGGTGTTCTGGGCAAGGAAGTCTGGAGCAAAGCCTGACTTGAGACCTACGCCCCTTTGACACCGAAGCCCACACTCCTCACAGCCAGCCAGAGACCAAGACCAATTTCAGCTAAGCACCCACTCGATTAAGGACACTTTGTGGGAGACCACACACCAGTATCAGCTTAACCCCTGGCCCGTTAGTGCTGCCAGTGGAAGAGACCCTCTGTGGGCCACTACTCATACAGGGGGCTCCACACTTCCCACTGGATGTCTCTTGGCCAAGGTCAGGAAGATGGAAGGCAGAGGCAAGCCACCACCTGCCCCAAGAAAGATAAGCAGTCTCTGGATAACACAGCCCAGGAATGGCTACCTACCCAAGCCACAAGCTCAAAGACAGTCCAAGATACCACCGCCTTCTCCTCTCCCATTTTCCAAGTTACCTGACAACCTGGCTGCCAGGTCACCCAGGACCAGACTATCGACTTAAGTATAACTAGGCCTATCCCAGAACCATTGCCTCCCTGAAGCCCAGAAGTACCTGGCTTGTGTTTGTCCCAAGGGGGTAAGGGGGATTCTCTAGGGTTTGTGTTTGTAGGATATAGTCTACCAAGTTCCCCATATACAAGCTCAAAAAAAACAGCCAAAGGCTCCAGTACCTTGACCTGGGCCTTACTCATCCTTTCCTTCAAGGGCTTGTACAAGTGGTCTGGAGGGCTCTGGGTTGTTAGAACCACCCTCATATTTCATTCCCATTATGTCACCCTGTATCCACTGACTCGTGGTCGGGGTCTTTGCTCTTGGGGGGGCACCAGCACTTGGTGTGGGTCCTCCATGCTCAGACTCCCTTGGCTTTTGCCAACTTTCTACATGCTCCCACAAATCCCATGGCTTCTCACCCCAAAACTCTGACCTCTGACCTCATCTACCTGTGGCTGCTTTGTTAGTCACGAGTTCTGGGTATCCCCCCCTGCTTTCCTAGCTCAGAGATATTCTGTGACCTGACTGCCAAGCAGAGTCATGTCCACTTGAGGATAAAGCACCTACAAGGGCTCCCCAAACCTCAGGCCTGTCGGTACTGCAGAGAGCTATGAATTCCCAAGGTGGGACAAGCCCTGGAGCCTTAGGGTCCAGACAGCTCAACCCCAGGACGTGGAAGCAAACGCGACACACACAAACCACACAGAGCTTCAGGTCATGCACTGCTGGTCAAACTGAGGGTCAAGACAGGAGTGGGTTTACGGAGACAGAGACCCAGCCGGGCTCTCCAGCCACAGCACACAGCAGCCACGGAATCCTGGGAGGAAAAGGCTGTCACAAAACCCACTGAAAGCAAATGGGTCTCAAACTGCAGTGTTCCACAGAGTCCACGGGGTGGGAGGTGGGGCCGTCTGGAGGGACAGCTGCATGCTAAGGAGACATGACCAAGTGTGCTCTGACCCTGAGCACCCTGAACAGGCTGGGACAAAGTCTGGGCTGCCGTAGGCACAATACCTGGCAAAGTGCCAACAGGTGCCCTGCCTAGATGGAGGCTCCCCTGTCAAGATGTCCCAGCCCTGGCAGTGGAGTTGGTACCAGAGCCCACCCTCCGTACTCAGGCTCCCCTGTACTGGGCGGGAGCGACGGGTGTGCCGAAAACACTACCAGCCTCTTGGCCCTCGTTGCCTCATTTCTGAGCTGTCCAGGGCTGGCCAAGTTCAAGTCAGGTGCTCAGGGAGGAACCAGAACCCAAGCTGCCGCGTGTGGCCATCTGTGGAGTTTGTCCCATGAAACTGAGGGCTGGGCAGGCTGAAGCGGGAAAGGCAGAGGGTCACAAAGTGAGTTTCACAGCACAGGCCACAGGACGTGGACTCAGGTGAGGGCGTCGGTGGCAGTGTGAGCTCCAGTATTGCTTCTGTCATTTCTTGTCCAGCCTGAGACTCCTGGCATCTTCTTCAAGAAAAAAAAAAGAACTAAGCAACTCTTTCAAGTTTTAAAAGACTTCAACAAAAGCAGATGTCTGGCTTGGCTGACAATGCACAGGACGGCAGTTCCAGGCTGTCCCAAGGCTGCAGAGACAGGGCCTGGGCCACAAGAACCCAGGGTCCAGGAAGGCTGCTCAGAGGACCCAAGAGGCAGACGGATGACATGTCCCTGCCTGAGCCACGGTCTTCACACTGAGGTCAAATGAAGGAGGAACAAGAAGGGTAAAGTGCAAACACAGCAGTCTCCCAGCAGGGCTGGGGCCAAGGTGCAGCAAGGCTCCTACCAGTTCTGGTTGTCCCAGCCATCATCGGCGGCTGTCGATGGGGGGGCCTTCTTGGTGGCCTTTGCCCTCCCCTCCCCACTGGCTCCCTCCCAGCTCTCCCAGCCATCACTATTGCTGTTCTTGTTGTTGGATGCAGAACCTGAGCCCCAAACATCCCAGCTGTCCGAGCTCCTCCTCCCTGTTGAGGCATCTGCATAGGTCCAGCTGTCACTGCTTGGGGACTTGGCCTTGGGGGGCTCAGAACTCCCAAAGGTCTCCCAGAAGCTCTGGTCTATGGTGCTGTTCTGGGAGTTGTCTCCACTGCTGTTTTGGTAGCTGTGGCCCTCTAAGGGTCTATTACAGAGAGAAACAAAATCTCAGTAGTTATCACAGAAGCTGCCCAATCTGCTCGGGTCTCAGGGGCTCTCCAGAACAAGACTCACCACTTCACAAGCCCAGCCTACATTTGACCAGGGCGTGGCAAATGCCTACAACAGCTCCACGCTCTCTTTCTGCCTAGACAGGCTGCTGCCCTTTCAAGTGCTTCCTGGCCATCCTTGTAGGGTCAGTGTACCTTACAAGTGAGGGTCCCTTTTTATGAGAGCTGAGGGAAGGGCCTTTGTAAGGTCCACCCTGGTGCTGAGGGCATGGAACTTTTAGGAGGAATTGAGTTCCTCCTGCTACCTCAATACATATTCCCAACCATCACCCATTTACTGCAGGACATTTACCAGGGCACTGGGAAAGAGCATGCAGCCTTCGGTCCACGAGCCAGGTGGGGCATCAAAGGGCAACCACTTTGCCTCTAGTAAAGGACTATGTATACAACACTGGACAGAGGATGCTAGGCCAGGCCACCAGCTATCTCTCAGGGAGCTCAAAGGACCCAGGGCCTGGGATGGGGACATGGCCTACCTGTCTGAGTTGTCTTCAGCTTTCCCTGAAAAGAAAGTAGTGACATCACGCCATCCCTTGCTGCCAACTCCCTGGACCTGGAGGGAGACAGGAAAAGAAGCTGGGGCCGAACACTACATAGCACCCCTGGCTCTAAAACATGAACAAAAATGAATGTTGCTCTTCTGAGAAGACCTGGACAAAACCTGGAGAACTGTCACACACAGATAAACGCACACATGTGCACAGTAACATGGCAGCTGCGCTGAAGCAACACTAGCTGTTGGCTGCTTAGCTACGTGCTCAGAGCATCTCTCTGCCTTCTCTGCAGCAGCAACTCCTGTGTGGCTAAGACAAGGTCACACGGATATCAGTAAAGGCATGGCCTTACGCCAGGTGGTGGTGGCGCACACCTTTAATTCCAGCGCTCAGGAAGCAGAAGCAGAAGCAGGCAGATCTCTGTGAGTTAAGAGGCCAGCCTGGTCTGCAAAATTCCAGAACAGCCAGGGCTACACAGGGAAACCCTGTCTGGAAAAAACAAACACATAAAAAAAGGCATGGTGTTCGCAAAGTCACACTCAACACTTTGGAGGTGCTAAAAGTTTTGAGCCACCACAGGTTTTATCTTTACCACAGTGCAATGAAGGTCTACAGGTGTCATCTACTGCCATCATGTTGGGAAATCTGATGACCCCACCCTTATCCCACCAGGCTCTGAAGAGGTCACAGGACCAGTAACAGCTAAGAGTGGCATTGGCACTTACCAAAGGACAGGCCAACAGCAGCAAGACAGAAAGAAAAGCACAAGGTTAGTGGCTGCAAAGTCCCCAATAACCAAGCTGTTTCCATATTCCTCAAGCCCTCAGAAATCAGAGGGCAGTGGCCACTGCCTCAGTGAGCTCACGGCCCTGGGTCTGGAATATGGAGACTGGCTTTGGCTGTGCAAGTCAGTAGAGTAGCCCTACCTTGGATGCCAACTGAGAGACCCCACTGGACACATCATCAAAAATCCTTCCCTCCTTCACCTGTGCAATTTAAAGGGCACTGTTAGGAGGACTGAAGCTTCAGAGTCCAGAGAGACCTGCCACATTAAGTTCCCCAAGTTCTACCGGAGCCCATCTGGCTTCAGCTTCCTAAGACCTCATCACTGAAGAGGAACCTGGGCCTCCCTGGAGAAGACACCTGCTGTCCAGACTCCTGTTGTGAGGAAGGATAGGGGCTACTGACTCCTCCCAGGGCTAATACCCTTCTGAAGACAAGCACCACTGCCTGTGGTCAGGCCACTGGGATAAAATGGGGAAGAGACACCTTGGAAGCTAACTGGGGGGACTAAGGAGACCAAGGTTACCTGGACCAGAGAAAATTATAGGCAATATTTTGCTGATCCCCAATACACCCATTTCCCTGGTCAATAAAGGGCCTCAGCGGTACACATAAACACCTTAATTATTGGTGCCATCCATACCTTCTCCTGTGCAGGCTTGAGAACATTCTCATTCAGGCTGTGGCCCAACTCTGAAGCCTGTGGAAAGAGACACTGTGTGAGCTTTACATGCAGCAACATTAGTTGCTGGAGAGTAAGCACCAGACAGCACAAGCTTTGCCAACAGGAAGGCAGGCAGTGGGGTGTGGAGACACACGGGAAGCAGGACCACAGAAGTGACATCAGACTGGAAGGACCAAGACAGGAAGGGAGCTCCCTCACAACACTAGGAGAGGCTCTGGCTCTAGTCCACAGTGAAGGGGATAGACACAGGTCTGCTAACTGCAGGCACCTCTCCATCTGTTTCCTCAACTAGGCACTGAGCTTTACATGGGAGAAAAGCCTATGTGGGAGGCTCGGCGGAGAGATGGAGAAAAGGTGGGGCAGGAGATACAGTCTCTCCTGGTGCCACCACGGTGAGGCCACAAAGCTTTGAGCCACCTTAGGAATATGACTTGCCAGGACCTTACCCTCAAAGCAAGACCAGATAAAGGGCTTGAAAGGGGTAATTCATTAATATAGGAAGGATGAGATTCCAGGAGTTACCTGGTTTGGGATAATTAATCCATGAAATGAAAACCAAATTTAGAAGCCTTTCTCTCCAGAGCCCACTGGGCCCAAACAACCTTACTCAGGGAATACCAGGGCTATGGATCTTGCAGACGATGAGCTTCCAGCGCCAGCAGGCCAAACACAAAGGGAGACACAGCCAGGAGCAAAGCGCATGCTCAGCAGACACGAGGCAGCATGCACCAGTACAAACAGGGTTTTACCGGCTCTGACTGCTGCTTGTAACCCCAAAACTTGACCCAGTTGGCACGAAGGCAGTTACAGAGAAAGAGCAGGCGGTGGGAGCCACATTAGCAATGCCCCAAAGTGTCAGGAAACAGACCCCTCGCCTGTCTCATAATGCAGCCCTTTAACAACCCTCAGCTGCCTGACTGCTGGGATTACAGCTGTGCACCACCACACCCTTTTACTACCTGCATCAGAACCACACCAGCCCGCACCAACTTACTTTGGACCCTGGCATCGTTATTTCTCTGCTCCAAATTCATCACAATCCAGACTCCATGATAAGCATGAGGAGCCTGAGCCCAACTGAGACATTCTGAGGCAAAGCCAGGAAGGCTCTCCAAGGTGGATCACTAGGGATGCAGGACTGGGAAAGGCCCCAGAGGCAGAAGTGCATACGAATAGTGCTGCAGGCCACAAGGACCTAAAACCCTGCCCACCTCACCACGGAGGACAGCATAGCCGACAGAGCTCTGGACATGGCAACTCTTCTTATACTCAGCTTGGAAGAGAAGAAAACTGCCAAGCCCAGACTGTCACTGCTGGCCACAAACCAAGCTGCCAAGTGGGGATGCAGTGACACCTTTCCAACTGGACAGCCCAAGGCTGAGAGCCGGGGCCTAGACAAGCCTTGCCACATAAGGCAGTTATGGCACCGTGGTTTCATGTCTACTAGTGGCTGTGTTAGACGAGGAAGCCCTGAACACAGCAAGCCGCCTGCTGGCGCAGCTGGAGGCACTGAGGCAGCATGGTGAGGACCTTCTTCACTAGGGCCCTCAGACCTCCAGCCCAGGGTGCTTCCAGACACTGCGTGTGTATGAAGACTAACAGGTTTTAAAACAGAGAACAAAAGCTCCCCCCCCCCCCTTTTACCTTCTGACTTGCTTGGGATCCAAATTTTGTAGCCTAAAAAGGAAAAACAAAACCCAGCATTTTGTAGTCAAATTTCTTGACCCTGACCAGAAGGCTTTATCTATGTGGGGCCCAGGTGGAGTTAGTTCCAGAACTCCCTCCTGGAAAGTTCCAAGGCATTCAGCACCAACCTTGGCAACCTCCGGGACCAGGTTGCTGTAGGGAGGCCTGGCTTAGCAGATGCTGTAACAAGCCCACAAAAGGCTGGAGGTGGGACATGTTTGGGCTCAGCAGCCACCCTTGCCCCTACTTGTATCTAACTTATCTAGACATACAGAACTGTTGACATCTGAGAAAAGGTAGGCCTGTCTACAGATGCCCAAGCTGAAAGGTAACTAGACCTTCCTGGCACCAGTCATTCTTGGGATGAGGAAATACCCCTAATAGGAGATGCCATTATGTATATATGTTTCTCATACTGGTTAATGAATAAAGCACTGTTGGCCAATAGGAAAGGAAAATAGGAGGGACTAGGAAACAAGGAAGAAAGAGGAAGTAGTAAGGAGGAGTCAAGATGGAGAGTCTGGAGAAAGCAGTATGCTGCCGGCTCCCCGGTAAGAGAAATACATAGATCAGCAGAAATGGGTTAATACTTAAGACAGAGCTAGCCGATAAGAAACAAGTAACCGGGCCAACAGTATTGTATCGAATACAGAGTCTCTGTGTAGTATTTGGGGCTGGTGGCATGGCGGCGGGACAAGACCAGCGGCGGCAGGCGGAAAAACCCGTACTCCTTACAAATGGCGCCCACGTGGCTAGTAAGAACTTCCACTTAAAATTTAACAAAAGCTTAAAAAAGGGTTTTAGAAACAAAAGAACAGAGATAAGCAAGGTTTCTTGGTAGCAGCATTTTTCTCAGTTGAACTCTGCTTTGCTAGAGACAAGCAGATATTCACGCGGCTCCTTTAAGGGAAGATTCCTGACTCAGCTTAAGCGGCAAAAAACCGCACAGGTTTTAAATAACTCTGCTAACAATTTATTGGTGTGTATGAGAGATGGCAATGGCAGTGACCACATCTCCAAGCCGGCAGCATGCTTTCTGGGTGGCAGCGCAGACCAAGGCGGTGAGCACAGCTTTCCTTGCTGGCAGTAAAAGTACCCGCCACCATCTTTGGTAAACCTCGGCTGACACAGCTATGACTTTCATTTTAGCAATGTTGTTGTTTACCAGATAAAAGACTTGTGGCCAGACGAAGATAAAGATTTACAGTAAAGACAGATTCATATTAAGAAGAACCTCTAAAGGTTTACAGTGTGTTTTAAAATATACGTAGACATGAAAAAAAAAATGGTTTTAAAGAGACAAAGAGGAACTGGGTGTTGTAGCACATGCCTTTAATCCCAGCACTCAGGAGACAGAGGCAAGCAGATCTCTGTGATTTGCAAAGTAAACCTGGTATGCAGAGTAAATTCCAGGACAGATAAGAGTTACAAGGAGAAACCCTGTCTCAAAAAATAGAAAAGAAACAGAATAATAAAAAGCCACAGATGGAGAAAATTTGTATACTGTACGGTATTATATTGTCTTTGTATTGTTTGACTGCTGAGGAAACAACAACTGTTAAAACAAATGCTGCTGAATTAATTCAATTTATATATTTTGAAAATGCTTTGACTCCAAAATTTAAGTTCAAGGACAAGTTACTGGGGAAAAGGATTTCTATTTTTGTTTCCACAGAAAATAAAAAGCTATGGATTCCTTCCAGACTAATGTGGTTTGAGCAAGCCAGACCCCCTGAAACAGAGTCGCTGGTGATCCAACATTCAAAACAGCTTGGACAAGGCAGTCTTGCAGACTACAGCCAGGATTTCTACATCTTCTCAGGATCCCCCATGACAGCGCCCCCTGTCAGCAGGAAGTAGTTTGGAAAGAACGACGCCCAAATTCCCAAATATTGTTTATAAATGTTTGTTTTCATTTAAATGGACTTGGTTATAAATGGTTAATGATCATAGCCAATTCTTTTTAAAGGTAAAAAGGGAATTATGGTATAGATATGAATACTTTGTTTTGGAATGGATTTTCATTTATTGATACAATTTAAGGTCAATGTTGTATATGTATATTTCTCTTCTTGTTTATGTATTGTGTTTATATAGCTCATTTAAAAATGTAATGTATAATTTAGTACAGATTTTAGATAGTTACCTATAATAGTCAAAACATAGCTAGGTGAGTTAGGTTTTCTAGATATGCAGATGTATTTGAGATAGATAGATATTCTTCAAATCTTTCAAAGACCTACAGAATATGGCATTTAAAATGGTTTAGGGTTTTTCTTGACAATGAGACATAATTGTTCCTGGCAACACCACCTGCGTCAGAAAGGAAGATGAAGATGGACATTGAAGAAACTCATTATGGAGTTTACTTCCAATATGGCAAGACTAGCCATTTGGACAAAATACTGCTCTTGTCTGGACTGTTTGACTTTGTGCTATATAAACTGGACATGCAGGGCCCACAGAAAAGTGACTGCTGATTCACGATGGACATTGCTACAGAAATCTGCTTCATGAAGGAGTCTGCCAGACAGTCTGCAGGACACAGAGGAAAGTAACAGACAAACTGCCAATACAAAAAGACAGTTTAAAGTCTCCTGCGTTGCTGAAGAGTCTGCCAGACATACGATGGCCTATGGGCTGAAGATGGAAGATTACAAAAGAACTTTGGGTGACCAGGCAGTGAGTTGTCTCTGTCATTTCTAGAGTTTATATACTATCCTTCTGTGGTCTTTGAAGGAGTTGAAGACAGATAGTTATGGTTATAGTTTTCCTTAGTTAGGATTAAAGATAAGTTACTTTAGACACACAAAGATAGGATAGATGATGGAATATTTTCTTCAAATCTCGCTAAATATTAATGAACTAAATATTGTTAACTGTGATTCTTACTTGATAATTGTTGTGTGATATATTTTGCTATGTTAAGGTTAAACCCTTCTTTTTATTTAGACAGAAAAGAGGAGATAATAGGAGATGCCATTATGTATATATGTTTCTCATACTGGTTAATGAATAAAGCACTGTTGGCCAATAGGAAAGGAAAATAGGAGGGACTAGGAAACAAGGAAGAAAGAGGAAGTAGTAAGGAGGAGTCAAGATGGAGAGTCTGGAGAAAGCAGTATGCTGCCGGCTCCCCGGTAAGAGAAATACATAGATCAGCAGAAATGGGTTAATACTTAAGACAGAGCTAGCCGATAAGAAACAAGTAACCGGGCCAACAGCATTGTATCAAATACAAAGTCTCTGTGCCTTATTTGGGGCTGGCGCAGCTGCCGGACAAAACCTGTCGGCGGGCGGAAAAACCGAACTCGTTACATACCCCTGGTCAGCAACCATGGCAAATGGGCAGGAAGGGTAGACACAGTGGCTTCCGGCTTGTTTGGATGGCTACGGGCACTACTGATCTGACTCCTGTGGACCAGTAGGCCAGTTTACCTCTATCCCTGTTCCTCTTCGCACCATGGCCACACAGCCCAATCTTAGGCTGAAAGTCTACACTTTATGGTTTCTTCCCGTCAGTGTTTGCCAGCTCATCGCCAGAGTCAGACATGATGCCTATACAGCACAGTCTACCAAAACGAGGACCCTCAAGCTCTCCTCTCATTTTAAGTACAAGTGAGGAGGAGCTAGACTTCCCCAACACCATTCTCAAGACCCCAAGGCAAAAGTGCAGGCACATGTACCCATCAGCCATTCACTAAGGACGGCATCTGTCTCCACCCACATGAAGTCAGGTCCTGCAAGCAGTTTGTCCTTTACACAAAAAACAAACACCTGCTACAGTAAGGGTTCCTGGGCCATCCTGCAGTAGACAAGGCCCCATGCTTGTCTGCCAGAAGAGTGAAGGCTGACCTAAGGCCAGTGGTGGACAGCACGCACCCCAGTTACTTACACCCTCCTTTGCTGCAGAAGCAAACTTGCTCGCTCCAGTCGTGAAACTGCTCCAGCCCTGAGAAGACAACAGAGAATAATGGAGCATGGTTCTTCTAGACCCCGTGCATCCCACGCTCTTGACACCTCAGCACTGCATGGCTCCACAGGAGGCTCTTCAACACCTCTACAGCTCGTGAGCAGCCGCAGGCAGCCCAGTCCTGCAGCACACAGCATGCTTCAGTGCTTTCCTTCCCAGAGGAACTTGAACACCAACCACAGCACAGGAAGGCCACGAGGCCTCTCGGGCAGACACAAAAGGGTGTTGGCATGGTTGCATTCACTTCTTTCCTTATTCCTCCCTGCCTCCCAGAGGAACAGACGGTGGCGGGCAAAGGCCTTCCTCTAAGTTCAAAGTTAGTTCCTCACCAATACCTTCCAAAGTAAACTAAAACTAATTCAATGTAAAAGTGCCCCCTTACACCACAACTGGCTTTTGTCCCCAAGATAGTGCAGAGGAACCAATATCCTTTAAGAGACATCCATAGTCATTGATGTTCATTAGAAAAGGTCATCAGGGACTAGAGAGATGGCGCAGAGGTTAAGAGTACTGCCTGTTCTTCCAGAGGTCTTGTGTTCAATTCCCAGAAACCACATGGTGGCTCACAACCATCTGTAATAAGATCTGATGCCTTCTCCTGATAGGCAGGTATGCATGCAGACAGAATACTGTGTATATAATAAATGTTTTTAAAAAAAAGTCGTCAGTAGAAGACAGAGAATGATGAGGGTTTGAGGCTTTAAATAAAACTCTAAAACTCTATAGGGCCTGACATGGTGGCATACACCTTTTAATTCCAGCACTGGGGAGGCAGAGGCAGGTTGATCTCTGAGTTCAAGGCCAATCTGACCTACAAAATGAGTTGTCAAAACAAAAACAAAACAAAACAAAAAACAAAGGAGAGAGAGAGACGTCTCAATAGCAACAGGCTTTATAACAAAAGCCTGCTTTTCTGTCCTACAGAAGATCCAGTGTGACAGCAGAGTGACTGCCATTGCCATACATAGTCCTACAACACTCCCTGGCAGCAAAGAGGACAGTTTTAAGCAAATCTTTGGTTTTGAGACAGGTTCTCATTATGTAGCCCAGGGTGGCTTCAGATCATGGCAATCTTTCTGCTTTGACTTCCCTCAGCGCTAGGGCTACAGGTGTCCATTACAATTCAACTTCAGTTTTAAAACAATTTTTAAGCCAGGCATGATGGCTCAGACTCGTAATCTCAATATGCAGGAGGATGAAGCAGGAGAATAATGGTAAATCTGAGACTGGCCTGTTCTACATGAGTTCAAGGAGACCACAAAGAGCAACAAGCAAAACTGTCTCAAAAGAAAAAAAGAAGTAAAAAGTTCCTGCATTCCTGACATGAAAGAAGAGGGTGATGCCAGTCTTTCCCCTGTGCTGTCAGTCCAGACTCCAGTGCACACACACAGCAACAAAGCAGATTTTTGCAGTCAGCCCCTATTCAGTCAAGTATCTAATTACTCTCATGCACAGTGCTAATTTATTCTTACCTTGAAGATATAGTATCAATATAAAAAGCCTTTCCTTTTTTTTATTTTGTATTAGTCTGTTGTTGTTTTTGTTTTTTGAACACTGGAGGCACTCGGTAGACCAGGTTAGCTTTGAACTGAGAGGTCTGCCTGCCTCTGCCTCCCCAGTGCTGGGATTAAAGGTGTGCCCTACCATGTCTGACCTATTTTCTCCTCTTTTCACTTACAGCATCCGGGAATGGATGTACAACCTGCCACTTAGCAGCAGCCCCTGCTTCAGGATGCTTGCATTTATGATTAATTACTACAGAACACAGCACTGCAATGGACAAAAGCAGCTTTAAAAATATTAATTTCTGGAGGAACAATAACATGAATAAAGGAATCAAGGCCATGATGGGGAAACGAACAGAATCAGCTGACCAGAGCTACTGAGAGATCAATGACTTAGGTCTGACAAATGGGGAACCTGCATAAGACCAAACTAGACTCCCTTAACATAGGTGACAATGGTGTGGCTGGGACAGTACATGAGGCCACTGGCAGTGGATCCAATGTCTAACACTAATGCCCAAACTGACTTAGTGGAGCCCATTCTACATGGAGAGATACCTTGCTCAGCCTAGGCACAGGGGTGTGTGGGGTGGGGAATGCCTTGATCCTGCGTCAAGGAGATGATGGGACAGACTTAACAGACTTCCTAGGTAGGTCTTACCCTCTCCGAGGAACAGATGGGAGGTGGGGTGGGTGGGGGAGTGGGAGAAGGGGAGGGTGTGGGAACTGGTATTGGAATGTAAAAAATAAATTAATAAAAAATGTTAAAAAAAAAATATTAGTTTCCTTGGAAAAGCAAGCCTAAGATGCCACACCCTAAATTTCTGACCTGGAGCTTCCAAGTTGCCCTGAAAGCAGACAAACTGCCCCCAACCCAGCACCACACCCCAGTGGAATGCCAGAACCTTGGGCAGCCTCTGCTTGGGGCCTCACTTTCTGAGTCAGCCTACCCAGCACGGGCCAGGAGGCTGGGTCGGTCTTCCACTGAACTCAGGACACAACCTAGAGATAAGAAGTACACAGTCTCCATAGAAAACTTAGTGCTTTGAGGAAATCTACTCTAGTAAATGTGAAATACATCTCTTATGGCCAGATTAAGTAAGTGGCTGAATACATTAGGGATATTAATAAAGGACCTTTTTCTTAAAAAAAAAAAAAAAAGAACCATTCACTGAAGGTAAACAAGAAAGGACCTTTAATCTGACCAAAGAGTATATGCCCCATGACTACCCACTCTGTCCACAAAGGGCCCTCCTTGTCCTGGCACTGGACAACCCTCTGGCTATGTCTACCACAGGAGGCACTCTACAGAACTTAGGTCTCCTTACCGAGTACAAGGATGACATGGCATTGTTGAGAAAGTCATCTTCTCTCTTTTGAGGTGGCACTGTGTTTCCAAACCCTACGTATCGATTCTCCTGAGCACTGAAAATAAGCACAGACATCCCTAGCCACCAGGAGAGGCGCCTCCTCCCTCTCAGAGGACACATGGCACTCTGGACAATGGGCACAGGAGCTATACGGATATTTTCTACCACATGATCTGAGGTTCCCCAGCAAGACTCAACCCCCACAAGTGGAGTTACTGGAAAGCACCAATTACAGGCCAGGCAGATTCCAGGAAGAAAACACATCATCTTTAATACTGGATTTTCTCCACATTCAAAACCTCCACTCCACCTGGGTCACCTTAGGGCTTGCCAAAAGTAGTCCCTGGATTACACACACTGTGGACACATACTGAAGGAGTGTGCCCAGTTTACCCTACAGGAAAGAGCCCCAATCCAATGGCATAAACCCCTGCAGGGTGGCCTGTCAAAGATGCCCTAGCTGCTTGCTATCCCCGGCTTAAGAGGACTTACCCCTGATAGGAGCCCAGGTCATCATTCAGCCAATCTTCAAAAGCCTTGTCACCAGAGGCAGTCACATTCTGTGGCTGGCCAGATGATCTGAAACAGAAAGTTAAAGGCCAGTAAGACCTTGACAATACCAAGTGAAACCACTCAGTCTTTATGACAAGTACCTTACATATCACATATGGGGTCAAACAGCAACCAGCTCTGACCCATAGGATACTCAGGCACAGCTACAAGTCCGGTGGTTCTCTGCACCAGCTAACAGCAGATGACAGTGAATTCTACACTTGCCAGGAGTGGCCATAAGGGTGCAGAGCTGGGAAATACGACTGAAGCCATCAGTGCTAGGAACTTCTGATTAGGTTCTGTAGATGTGCTGTCACTCAGTGCACAGCCATCTCCTGTGCCTCATCTGTCTTACACCAGCCTCCAGTGGGGAGGGGACATTCTTCACAGTAGAACTTGGTGTACACAACAGGGATCTCTACCATCTTGGGGCCTAAACTATGATATGACCAACAGCTCACAGAGGAGTGACCACATGGCATAAAAACACAACCACATCCCCAAAGGCACTGTTCACAGTGCTGTATGGTACACCTGCAAGGAGAGGGAGGAACCAACCCTCCTGCAGAACGGGGCAAGACGCTACTTCCTATTTGGGGTAAATTTTTATTACAAGTTTGAACTTGTTTCAGGAATGTTAAGAAGCTAGTTTTCACTGACTTCTGGGAATAGCTCACAATTGGAGCTGTTTCAACAAGTGGAAGAAATGAGGTTTCTATGGGAATCCTAAGCTGCCACCAATGTGAGGGTGAAGCTGAGATATGGCCAGCAGGTCAGAGGAGCTACCGGTGGGCAGTGGATTGCAGCATCTTGGGCTGAGGTGGGGTCCAGTTCTGTGCAGGTGATGACTCCAGAGACCACTCTCTACCTTCTGCCAAAGTAGCCACCTAACAAGATGACACAAGACATAAGGAGATATACCACCTACTCAAGCACATCCAACCCTACAAGCTAGTACCACAAAGCCATGAACCAGGGCCCTTATGACGATGAGAGTGCCAGTAAGCTACTGACCACTATGCTAGCAATTTTAAAAGCACAGACAGAACTCATTAATGTGACCTCCCACCCCCAAATCTGAGGAAGGCCAAACTGTCAAGAGGGTCTACAAACGAGCTAATCTAAGGCATTATGATCACTGTTCCTTTCCTCCCTTTAATTACAGGCTATGTGCATTCCCTGTGGGCAAGAAGAGCCTTCTCTGGGTTTAGTAAAGGCCTCTTATCCTTGTCTGTTCTTGGACAGTGCAGGGCCTCCACAGATGTTGAAAGCTTGCTTCCCTAAGCCACTAACGGCACATCTGGCCACTGTGGAAGCGTGTGCTATACACTCACCTCTGTGTGTGAAGCAAGCCAGTTCAGTCCTTACCTTATCCCTGAAGAGTGCTGCAGCTCTGCTGCTATACTTGTCCTGCAAGGACCAGTTAGGCTCATAATCCTCCTGGGCTTCCAGGAATTCACGGAACTTAGCATTCCCACCAGCCTTCATCTTCTCAAGCTCGATGTCCTTCCATTTGTCCATCGTTACTGAGCGTACAAAGCTAGAAACCAGATGTCTGATCTGATCACCAAGTATTAGAGGCCCCAAGTAGCCTCCCAACCCCAGATCACTTCCTGAGACAGACACAGGTGCTTCCAGTACTGAGGCAGAAGCCAGGAGAAGCTCCATGGAGACAAGCTGGACAACAATGGATAATCATGGCTGGTATTAGTGGAGTGAGGACCACCTAATACGGTGGAGAATAGCTCTGTTACATCCTGTCACAGCGGTTTGGGCAGCAGGCCCCACAACATGGAAAGTAGAACAGAAGCAGAATGTGCAGGGGTTGAGTGGCAGGACACTGACCTGAGGTGCACCCCAAGCCCACGGTGTCTCCCAGAGCATTCCAGGCAGATCCAGATGCCATAAGTCACGCTGACCCATTGAGGATTGAATGCACCACACTCAAAGCAAACCTGCAAAGGGGGGGGGGGAAGGGGCACACACAACTCACCAGGCAGCCCAGAGCAGATTTATGACCCCAAAGATGCCCCCAAAAGATGCAGAAGAGGGATGGGCCAAATGTGCAAAGACTTAACTAAAAAGCTAGTGCCAAAAAGCCCAACAGGGCTGCTCAGGTTGGTCAAAGGGTGTGGGTTCAGGACAAAGCTGGAGGTGAATGAAGCTGCCTAGAAATGGGCATAAAGATAAAGAACCTCTCATGAGAAAAACATTCAGGACGGAGACCGAGCAACCATCCTCAGCACAACCTGAGCAGTGTGACAGATGTCCCACACGAGTGAGCACCGAGAACAGATGAGAACAGCTGGCTGCTCCCCGGTGACATGATCAGCCTCCCCAAGGAGGAGCACATAACCATAGCTGCATCTGACACCAAGACATTCACCAGCCCACCCAAGCCCAGCCCAAAGGTTCACACTCACATTGTTCTCATCTTGTGCCCTGACTTCTTTAAGGACTTTTCTGGTTCTTGGACTGGCCATGGTGCTGCTAGGAGGGAAACAAACACTCACAGCGACAGAATGATGTCATCGTCAGATCTGCCACAAAGCTGCTCTGGCTTGACAGTGGTGGCCCTGCACAGTGCGGGAGTCACTTCACATGGCAGGAGGGAATCTCAGACTACAACCAGCAGTAAGTAGTCAGGAATGCCATGAAGTACGAGTTCAGCCATTATGTGCCTGATAAAAAGCCCTGTCATTTGGTGATAAAACTCACAAGGAGTAACCTTACAAAACACATGAAGATCGGCTGCTAAATCTGTTTCCCCACTAAAAAAGGGCAACTCGGTGGCGGAAGGGAGCACTTCTCACTTCCTACCTCTCCGCCAGCTCTCCAAGCTGGTGTAGGAAGCCCCAAGGCTGCAACAAGGGGCAAGGAAGTATTCCTGGCAATGGTGTTAGTCTGTGAGATAATGTAGCCACAGAACACAATAATGAACAGACCACCCACACAGGGCCTTTGGTGGGAACAGCAGTAAGGCTAGGGTGAAGAGAAAAGCTCACTTCCTTTTTTAATACTCTCTTCCTTCCTTCCTTCCTTCTTCTGTGTACACATGTGGAGACCAGAGGGGGACACAGGTTGTGTTCCTCAGGTTTCCACCCTGTTCCTTTGGGGTACTGAACTTGGAGCTCCGCTGGAAACAAGCTCCCACAATCTTCCAATTTCCATCTTCCAATGATGAGGTTATAGACATGTGCAGCCATACCTGGCTTTTATGTAGATACTGGAGATCTGAACCCAGATCCTCATACATATACAGAACGTGCTCTTACCCCCTGACCTGTCCCCTAGTCACTATTCTTTCCTTCATATCCACCAGTTTCAGCAGTGATTAACTTTAACTGGTGGTCCATTTAAATCAGGGCTAGGAAAATAAAGCAAAAGAAACACTGTACCAGCACTGAGGAGACTGGAGGCAGGACCTGGGCCTCTAGCCATCACCCCCCCACTCCCCCCACCCCACCACCCCACCCCCGTGCCAGCCCCCCACTCAGGTGTGGTCTTTCCACAGCTATCTGTCCCAATAGAGCCATACTGTTTCCTCTAACTCCCAGGGCGACACACGTAAAACAAACAACAGGTAAGCTCTCTCTCTGACAGAAGCTACAGGTTTTCAGTGTTTTACCTTGCAACTTACTAGCTGTTAGACTGAAAACAACCATTTTCTATTCATGTGGTTCACATAAAAATAAATAAATAAATAAATAAATAAACAAACAAACAAACAAAAAGCCCCTTTCTGTGGCTTTGGAGGCTGTCATAGAACTAGCTCTTGTAGACCAGGCTGGCCTCAAACTTACAGAGGTCTGCCTGCCTCTGCCTCCCAAGTGCTGGGATTAAAGGCGAGCGCCATCACCGCCCTTGGAAATATCTATCTTTTGGCATGACTAGGGTCTCCTTCTGTCAGATGTCAGGAAATATTTGTTTTTTGTAGCTGTGTGAAACTAAATCCTAGTTCAGTCTAGCTTCCTTTTACTGTGTTAACTACATGCTAGAATGGCATCCTAAAACCGTGAACACACAAATGCAGACTCCTGCATGTGGGATGCAGGCCTGGGCATGACTCATTCAGGCAGAACAGTTAGCAGCATCCCAGGCATCTACTCATGCACACCCCCAGACAGTTCAAAGCTTTTGGGGAGACATTGGGAGATCTGAGTTTACAAAGCCCTTTGCATTCTTCTCCGGTGGCTACATGAACAGCCACCACCAAGACCAGTGCGGGTTTCTGTACTCAGCCTCAATATCCAAAGCACTGTGCCTGCCCTCAGAGACCCACAACTAAACAATGGAGGTAAACAAAGGCAAGCGGTCAGCATCTGAAGTTCTGACTTTGTGAAATAAAGCAGAAGGACACTCACAGCTATGGAAAACGGGGGAAAGTAGATGATTTGGCTTTGATTTCCTTTGTCTTTGAGACAGGGTCTTTCTATATTGCCCTAGCTGTCCTGGAACTCACTATGCAGACTAGGCTGGCCTCAAACTCTCAGAGATCTGCCTGCCTCTGCTTCCCAAGTGCTGGGATTAAAGGTGTGTGCCATCATGCCAGGCTTGGCTTGGATTTAAGGAACTGTCCTGTGTGGCAAACTTTGGGTACTGATGAGTAATTACTCATCTTAAATATTGTTTAGTAACATGGGAACAAGTATCTCTTTACTTTCACCTGCCTAAATACAAATCCAAAAAGGTACAATCCTTTTTTTTTTTTTTTTTTTAATACTTCTTTCTTGGGTGTGTGCATAATGTGTCTACAGTACATGCCTAGAAGCCTAGAAGGTGGGAATCAGCTATTGCCTTCCACCATGTGAATTCCAAGGATCAAACTCAGGAGGTCAGTCTTGGTGGCAAGTATCCTTACCCGGTAATCCATCCCATCCACACCTCTCAGAATTCTTAATAGCTGAAATCAAAAATAGCAAACTACTCTTCCTTCACGTAGACATAAACAGTAAATACTGAGCAAATAAGGGTATTTTCAGATGGTACTAAGCTACAGGTCACACTACAGAGCACTTGGTTCTTAAACTGGGGCAGGATGAAACTCTGAGGTCAAAGGGGACATCTGGGAACATAGCTTGGCCCTAAGGCTACAGTACAGGTGGCAAGGAGAAATAATGACTTTCTCAGAACACAAAGAACCCATGTCTAAGCTGCGCTTCCTCCATCTGAAGAACAGGCGATTTCAGAACATCACCTTGCCCAGGACCATAGATACGGCTCCATTGCTGCAAACACGGTACAGCAGAAATATGAAGCCTAAATCAGTGGATTATTTCTGACTTATGTTGCCTTAAAAGGACAAACATCCTTCTAAACCCAGGTAAAACCGAGCAAAGGTTTAGAAGCCTGGTCCTTTGGGGGATTTTATTGTTGGTTTTGTTTTGTTTTTTCCCTCCTTCAGCAGGGTACTCACTTCAAAGGCCAAGGAGGAACGATCAATGAACGAGCTGGGGCTAGGGAGTCTGGCTTCCGGGCACCTCTGTCTGGACAGATTCTTCAAGAAGTGAAGAGCAGGCAGCGGCTCTTGCCCGGGCCAACTGGGCTGTGCAGAAATGGTCTGCGTCTGAGGGCGCTGAGAGGCCACGGAGATCCGCGAAACCGCGAGCTGGAGAGCGGCAGTCTTGATGCTCAGAGGCCGCGGCGAGGAGGTCCGCTCGCGATGGGGCAGCCGCACTCAGGGATCCTGGAGTTTGGGGTCCGAGGAGCAGGAACGTCACGGGTTGGGGGGACTGGAGAGTCCCGGGCCAGGAAGCCAGGGGACGGGAGAGCCGGGCGCGGGGCGCGGCGAGGCGGGAGCCGTGGAGTCAGGGCTGAAGACCGGGGTGTCAGACAGCCGGGGCCCAGGGCCTAGGCCCGCAGTACCGAGGGCTCAAGGACCAGGGGCCGGGTAACCTGAGAACCGGAAGGTCAAGGGACGGAGGGTCCGCGGGTCCCGCGGGTCCCGGCCGCCAGCTCACCTGCTGCCCTCCGGGGGTCGGGTCGGCCGAGTTGCCCGGCTGGACTGAGTGTTCACTGTCCCCCCTCCCCCCCACCCACCAGCCGCCAGCAGCTTCCGGCTACGTCGCGCTTCGAAAGGATTCATGGGAGGCCCGCGCGGCGCCACTTCCGCCTCCTCAGGAGCGCGCCTGTCTTCCGGGCTTTGCAGACCTTGGGCATCGCTCAGAGTTTGCAGGTTGCTCCGGCGTGGGCTGTGCCGCCTGGCAACGCGGAGCGGAGGGATCCACTGTGCCCACCGAGGCTGGATCAGAGCAAAGGCTGCCCTGGGCCACTGACAGCTCGAACAGCGGACCCGGGGTTTAAAATAGACTTGGGCCAGCTTTTCTGGTCAAATCACTGGAGTTAATTGCTGGTGGTTTTTAGTTTTGCATTTACTTTGGGCCTCTCAGTGCCACGTATTCCTTCCTCGTCGGCTGCTTGACTTTATTTATGTTTTTGTTTTTCGAGATAGGGTTGCTCTATAACTTTGGATGTCAGACTGGCCCCGAACTCAGAGATCCAACTGCATTTGCCTCCTGAGTGCTGGGATTTAAACGCGTGCACCACCCCTGCCTGGGTCATTTGCCTTCTAGATGGACTAAACGTTAATGTTTTTATTGAGGTCAAACCAAACATACCTGCATTGTACCTACACACTCTTGGTACCTGTACCACCATTGCGACAGTGTGTCCCTTCTTACATACGCTGTTGGAGTTTCTGCCACAGGTTCAGAACTTTGTGTTAATAGAATAAATAAAAATGTAGTCACTACACAGCCTGGCTTTGTGGCTTTAGACAGGCTCTCACACTGTAGCCCAGTTTAGCCTGGAATTCAAGGTAGTCCTCTGCCTCCTGAGTTCTGGAATTAGGGGCATGAGGCACCCCACCCAGGTTCATAGAATGGTATATTTTGAGACACTCTCACTATGTAGACCGGGATGTTCCTGAACTCACAGATAACCTGACCTCTGCAGGCTTATTCAGTGGCCAAATACAGAGGACAGAAAGCTCATTAAGACCCAAATTAAGCCAGATATGATGGCTCAACTGTCCACCTCTTATATACTTAGACACATACCAGCACCAGCATGGGTGACTAGAATCTTGTGTATGTATGTACTCGGTGTGTGGGTCAGTGGTGTATTACTTGTGTGTGGTGTGTGAGTGCTGTATGTTTAGGATCTCACCTCCAGACTCACAGGCCTCTGGTTTACCACACTATCTGTATAGAGGCAACAGGTACATTGACAGTTATGTTAAGGACAGGTGCCTACTCAGAGTCTCTCTGTAAAACCGGCAATGCTATGTATATATTGTGCAGCTACCAAGGTTGCAACCTAGAGCATAGGACTAACATGCTAGAATTCTGTGACAGACAGAAGTGTAAGTACAGATTGCTCCCACCCATGGCCTTCAGGTCAGGCTGGCTGAAATGCTGCTTGGCGGGCAGGAGCAAGCAGAGCTGACCTGTAGGTGGTCCAGAAGTACCTTGGCCAATGTAGGTTGTGATTCCCAGGCCTGATAAAGTCATCCCTTCCTGCTTGTATTTGCCAGTTTTTCGTCAACTTGACACAAACTAGTCATTTGAGAGGAGGGAGCCTCAACTGGAAAAATACCTCTAGAACAGTGGTTCTCAACCTTCCTAATGCTGCAGCCCCTTTAATACAGTTCCTTATGTTGCAGTGGCCCCCAACCATAACATAGTTTGGTTGCTGTTTCATAACTGTAATTTTGCTACTGTTACGAATCATAATGTAAAATTTGGGGTCACAACCTGCAGGTTGAGAACAGATGCTCTAGAAGATCAGGCTGTAATCAGGCAAGCCTTAGAACATTTTCAGAATCAATGATTGATGTGGGAGGGCCCAGCCCATTGTGAGTGGTACCACCCTGGGCTGGTGGTCCCGGGTGTTATAAGAAGCAGGCTGAGCAAACCATGAGGAGCAAGCTAGTGAACAGCCTTCGTCCATGGCCTCTGCCTCAGCTCCTGCCTCCACATTCCTGCCTTGTTTGAGTTCTTGTCCTGACTTCCTTGGATGATGAACAGTGATGTGGAGGCTAAACCAATAAAACCCTTTCCTCCCCAAGTTGCTTTTTGTCGTTACAACACTGCTCCAGGAAGCACCTCTGTTTATATCAAACCGCTCTGATATAAGAGCCCTTGAGTGTTTAGGTCACCCTGAAAACATTCTCCATAGTAGGCTCCTCATCTCTGACCTGAGATGTTTCCCACCAGCATGCAGTAAGCATGTAGCCCTCCAGGGGGCAGGTCAGCCCTTTGTGGGCTTCATCAGAGACAGCTCCCCTTCTCAGTGTCCTGAGAGTCTATGGAAGAGAAATATTATCATGGATGCAAGAAGGACTGGTCGGTGCATGAAGACTAGGCCCCAGATGTGGAAGACTTGCCTTGTGTAATAACCGGAGGAGACTGACAAAGAGGTTCCTGGTAACAAGAGGCCATAGTAAGGAACCTGCTTGGCCTGAGCTGGCCCAGCCAGAGGGCAGAGTTGAACCCTCTCATGCCAGGCCTACTGAGGAATTCAGAGTTCACAAAAGTAAAACAGTTGGGGTTAGAGAGATGGCTCAGTGGTTAAGAGCACCAGCTGTTCTTCCGGAGGACCCCGGTTCAATCCTTAGCGCCCACATGGCAGCTCACAACTATCTGTAACTCCAGTTCCAGGAGATCTGACACCCTCACACAGACATACATGCAAGCAAAACACCAATGCAAATAAAAATTAAAATTATTTTTTAAAAAGTGGGCAACCCTCAATCCTCATTCCTGGACCTGTTGCTTATCCCCAGTTGCAAGTGTACCACACAGCTAACAACCTGAAATAGTAAGCACTGCCAGCCCCTGTGTAGAACTGGAAACCCAGTGCCTAACCCTACCTACATCCTCTGTAATATACACACCATGGGCCTTGTAGGTGCCCATGACCTTTCTCCAGAGAGATGACCTCTGGTATCCAGAGAACATATACCATACCTCAGCCAACAACCAAGAGGTGAGAACACACACACACACACACACACACACCCCACCACCACCACCACCACCACTTCCAAGGGTGAGCAGGGTTGGGTCAACTGTGGCTTTTCTCCAGCTGACAACATACTGCTGCATCATATCCTCCTTTCTCCTGGGAGCCTCCTACACCCCTTGAGATTCAGATGGTTCGCAGTGTGTAGTTGCCACAGCCTCCCTTTGCTGGGTGTCAGCAAGCTTCTGTCTTTGCTATGTGCTGAGCAGAGCTGTGAAGATTTTTACTGGGATTTTGTTGCTGTTATTTTTGTTGTTTTGTTTTTTAAAGTGGAGCTGAAGCTAGGCATTAGCAGTTGTATACCCACTGAAGCCTTTGCTTTTCCGGTGTGTGTGTGTGTGTGTGTGTGTGTGTGTGTGTGTGTGTGTGTGTGGTAGCTTACCCCATCTAGATCCTTCCTGAATCAGGAAAGAAGAATGTGAGCTGGCTCAGGTCCACCCAGATAAGGCTGCTGCAGTGTGGATTGGCCATGATGGAGAAAGGCCTGGGGTATTTGGTCTGCCAACTCCTTGCCACAGGCTTGCAGTGTTCAGAAGGGCCTGGGGTTGGGATAGAGGAAACAGGAATGTCAGAGCAGGCAATACTGCAAGGTCAAGAAGCCATATGACCTTCAGAAGTGCAACTGTCCTTAGACAGTAGTCTTGGGCCATCCTTCCATCCTAACCCTCCAAGGGACTTGCAGCTGTGTTGAATCACATTTGGTCACAGTAGCTAAGAATATTCCAGGACTGGCCAGCTCCTCACACTGCAGTCTTTTTTTCTTTTTCCTTTTTCTACACAAGGTTTCTCTGTGTAGCTTTTGGAGGCTGTCCTGGAACTTGCTCTGTAGATTAGGCTGACCTTGATCTCACAGAGATCTGACTGCCTCTGCCTCCCAAGTGCTGGGATTAAAGGCGTGCACCACCACCACCGTCTGGCTCAGATTGCAGTCTTGATGGTTCAGATCTCAGGACTGTAATGGTCAGGACCCAAGTAGTCCCTGTGCCTTAGCCTCTCCCATTCCTATCTCAGATGAGAGTCTTTCTTGATTCTAGTTGCTAGAAACAGAGGCCCAAGCCAGGTGTTGGTGGTGCATGCCATTAGTCCCAGCATTCAGGAGGCAGAGGCAGGAGGATCTCTGTGAATTTGAGGCCAGCTGGGTCTACAGAGTGAGTTCCAGGACAGGCTACAAAACAATACAGAGAAACCCTTTCTCAAAAAAAAAAACCCAGAGCAAAACCAAACACATAGCAGGCTAAGAAAGAGTGGTCTTTTCTGTTCTCTACAGGTGTCTTAGACTGGGCTATCCCCCTTCAGAACCAAGCATGGGAGGACATGCGATAGACTCTAGCTGCTAGAGGTTTATAGATCCAGATAATGGTGACAGTGTGCACACACATATGGACTGTCCTGCATGTGTACAGGAATCTCGGTGTGAGAGCCCAGGGAAGCTATCAAGGACCTCTGAATCCCCCTGTCCCAGAGACTACTGCCTGGAAGGAGGGATGGCTTAG